AATTAATACTACAACTAAAATTCATAGGACATTCAGGAATAAAAAGTGTCTTATTTAAACACATTTGCCAAAGGAGATGAAAAGAATAAAGGTTTAGACAAGATGGTATATTCTTTCATTTAGAGTTGAATGACTTTTTCCCCAAATCTTATACATTAAATTCTACATTTATTTCTTACTCAATTGCATATTCTTTAGAGACTTGGTCTTTCATTCTCCAATAACGAAATTTTTTTTCGTTATTACATTTCAATTGTTTGTCAGATGTTTTCTGTTGGATTTATTTGAATTGTAGTAGCTATAATTAACTGAGGAAAGTTTCAACACATATTTAAATTACCACTGTCCACCATAATTGTTGACAACCAGTCAGCACTAGCATTTTTATGACAAAAACCGCTAAATGTCAGCAGTTCATTTTTTCAAGCCAATAATGTGAAAATGATTGTAATTACTGCAGTAAATATTTGTAGGTTAAACTACATTTCAATTAGTAGAGCAACTCATACATATGAAGAGTACGACAATATCAAGTATTCACAAACCTCCCTATTAGATTTAGACTTGCAGTCAGTAATTTAGTCCCCTTAAAATTAAGCTTTTAATATATGGTTAAACAAATGAACACTAGATTCCCCAGCTTACCACCCCAGTTTAGGATTCTGTTCGTTTTCATTAAAAAAAAACAACTTAAAATACTAAGGTCACAGAGAGAATAAACAAGCAAGTATGAATTTCGTCAGAAATTTGATTTTAGAGTTATGACTTTAATGCATTTAACCACTCCAATCAAATGTTTAGGCTGGTAATTATGTTTTTTAAAAGAGAATATGAATATTTTACCAAATGCTAAAGAGAAAGCACCATATAAGAAAATCAGATTCTAGAAAATTAACTAAATATATATACATAGTGTGTGTGTGTGTGTGTAAGTACTGCTTTCAAAAAAATTTCCAGAAAAAAGAAGTGCTTCCCATTCCTACTTATTTGTAGATGATTATTTAATAGTGAATAGTTAATTAGTTCAATAGTGAACCGTTTAACAGATTGTTTAGTAGTAAAGTCAGTTTACATTTGACGACATTTTGAATAATCCAATTAAAACCAATTCAAACAATGTGGCTCATGTTTAACTCTTCAGTTATTTATCCATTAATCTCTTTAAGTGCTTCCTTCCTTAACACAGCTGGATTTCAAGAGGTGACCAGCAGTTGGCCTCCATCTCAGTGGATTTGCAATAAATGTTGCAAATGTTTTAAATGTTGTATGCCTAAATAACTTTTTCTTAAGTTAAGAGCTTATAAAAAGCTTTCAAAGGATCCAAAAGAAACACATTTCCTTTAAAAAATAATAACCAAACAAAAGGAAGCCACACATACTGTAAAGATGTTCTCTGCAAAACATTCTGTTCAGCAGACCTGAACTGTCTCCAGAGGGATCAAGAACCACTTGGTTTGGAAGCAACAGCTGAGAACTCACAACAGTTGGTTAAAATCCAGTATTGACAACCATGAGGAATGGCTGAGATACCAGGTCCTGGGCCTTGCCTAGTCTCCCCATTCCATATTTGGAATGCCTTCACCTGTACCATTCAACCAAAAAGCATACTTGCCCAAAAGTCTCTGTCCTTGGTCCTCTATTCCTTTCCTTATACACCCTCCCTATTAACTATGATGTTTATGGTGACAATTCCTAAATCTACATCTCTGTTTCTGTTACATAACCAAATTCCCTATCTCCAAGTTCTGACAAATATTTCCACAAGCATAAGCCATTATAATCTCATACTCAACACATACAAATTTATTCATTTTTATTAAACTAATTCTTTTTCAGTTTCCTTACCTTTGTTAATATCAAATCCACCTTTCTGGTCACCAAGAATTAAAGTACAGGAACAAGTGTGGACTGCCTGGGAAACTCCATCACTCACGTTCAGTGGTTCAAGTAGCAGTCTGCATTTACAAAGATAGCCACTACACTATCTCTAACCCCACGTGCATTTCTACAGTATGATCTTGCCACTTCACCATCAAATGGTGGAGTCTAATTCCTCTCCCCTTGAATTTGGACTGAACTTAAAACTCACTTATTACCGAAATAATGTGACTGAAGCAATGCCGTCAGACTTCCGAGGCTAGGTCAGAATAGACCATGCAACTTCTGCCTGATTCTCTTGGCATACTCTCTCTGGGTTGGGGGTTGGGGGTGGGGGGTGGGGGTGGGGGGTGGGAGTATAAGCTGCCCTATGAGAATTTCAATTACCCTAAGACTGCCATGCTGAGAAGCCACATGTAGTCTCAACTAGGCCCAATTTTCTATCCCACCAACCTTCTTATCTTGTTTAAATGTGCTGATCTCACCTTCCAGGTTGGTATTCAGCTAACACACACCCGCACATATAGCAATGTTGGATGCTATGGCCAGAAATGTGAATAAAGCTGTCTTGGATGCTCCTGATCAGCTCATTTGCCAATTGAATGCCATCAACTGAACTCGGTAAATACCCTGAGAAGAATCACCCAGTTGAAACTCCTTAATTCCTGACATATCAAATCATCATGAAATATAAAACAATGTCCACAGCTCTCCTTCTAAGCAGTCAGTACATCATATGGAGAGCTATTACTGTATGGGGCTGAAGGTTAACTGAGATGCCACTTCTTTACCTCCACTGCCAGAGCCACCATCACAGAGGAGCTCTCATCAGCTCAAAGCTAGATTGTTTCAACTGATTCCAGGTTCTCCTCACTACAATCTATCATTACAATCCATATAACCTAAGACTTCCAACAAAAAACTACTTTACACAGGAACACCACAACCAACACAACCTCATAATGGTGTACATTTATAGAACATTTTACAATGCTAAAGGATCTTCAAAAATATCTATTTTATTTGATCTATACAACGAAAGTTAGAGAGAGAGCCCCGGCTGATTTTCTCAGTGGTTAGAGCACTGGCTGAAGACTGAAGGATAATGGGTTCAAGGGCACATATGGTTGCAGGTTCCCCAGCCCCTGTAGGGGTGTGCGCAAGAGGCAACCAATCAATGTGTGTCTCTCACGTAGGTATTTCTCTCTTTCGCTCTCTCTCCCCCCCTTATGTCTCCCCCTCCTTCCTCCCTTACATCTCTCTCTACTCCTTCCCTTCCACTCTCTAGAAATCAATGAAACAAATATCCTCGGGTAAGGATAAAAAAAAAAATGTCAGAGAGATACGTTAATAGAGCAAATACTCTTTTCTTTACTATAGAGATGAAGCTTTCATACAATTTCATTGCCAATAAATGGAATGAATATAAACACAACTAAGAGCTTGTGTCATACATTACTGCTATTTCTCTATTCTACAATGCATCCCTTCTATTATCTGTTTCAGATTTAAAAATATTCAATATCTCTCTCCATCCCTATTATAGCAGACCTACTTTCTAGATATCCATAATTTGGCTTCAATCTATCCAGCTGTACGATATTGCCTAGTAAACTCCACCACCATCACCATTACAATAAGATTGGCTTATTTATTCACCTAACAATATGCCATGCTGATTGTAGCTTCTGAACATTTGCTCACAAAGTTTCTTCCTTTCTCCTCCTATCTACTTAATCCTTACTCATCCATTAGCACAAATCCCACCTCTTCCATTAAGCCCTACCAGCCCATCCCCGTTACTTTCTCTCTCTGATATTCCTACAGAATTTGTAAATTTCACACCAGGATTGATAATTATATTAGATTGTTTATCTTGGTCTCACTTTTGAGGTTGGTATTCAGCTAACACACACCCGTACATACAGCGATGTTGGATGCTTATACCAATGTCTGTTCTGAGCAGTCAGTGCCCAAGAAATACTATTTGTTAAGTATTTTGAATTTCATCCTGCTTATTTCACAAATTAAACCATAAGCTCTTTGAGAAAAGGAACCTTGTCTTACAAAGAAGTATTATATCCTCCAAACCACGCACAGTACTAGGCATACAACTAGTGTTCAATATATACTTATTAATTGATTTTAAGAGAGGAAAGTATGTTGTGTTGTGAGAAAAAAGATATTCCTAAGTCATGTCTACAGTGGAAAGAATAAGTTGAAAAGGTAATAAAATATTTTCAAGATCAGTAGTTTAAAGTCGGGAACATATTTTAGCATATCATTTAAAGATATTCTGTGCAGCCCATAACTGACAAAATGTTTTATAATGTTTTTACCAGGAGTGTGAAAAAAAAAAATGTGCCAAAAATATTCAAGGATAATCTAACAGCCCAAAATAAAATGTTTGCTGAGGGTACAAGGCTGGCAGAACTCTTCTTCATTTCAAAACGTTTCCAGGCAATGGAAATGTTTTCCTGGAAAATACTACCTCTTATTTAGAGAACACTTGCCATGAACACTTAGTCATTAAGTAATTTAAGGTTTCCTCAGACGCTATTTGGAGGAAATCTAGTATATGAATGAATGAAATTATCAGCACCTAGAATGTAAAAAAATATAATAATTTAAAAAATTGGCTAAAGATATGAAATCTACCTAAATATTATTCCAAGTAAGAGGGAAAAATCTTTTATACTTTTTGGTCTATTACTGTCCTTTTAAAATTTTCCTATAAGATAAAACTACCAAAAAACAAACACCCATAAAATCCTTTCTGTCTGTAATACACAAAAATCCAAAGACCTGGAGGGCTTATTTTATTCCACATACCAAGCAGTTTTCAGACAGACAAAATAGTCATTTCATTTAAAGAAAAGAAATGGTAACTTCAAAGCTATATTTAGCGAAATCTTTGAGTTTGCTTCAAATCACTTTTCAATGAGAAAACCCAGTGTGAACATTTCACTAAATCGTCTGCAGTAAATCATACAATGAAACCTAAGAAAACAATTTCTTCCAAGAGTTTAAACATCAAAAGCCACAACTACATGCTACTTCAAGCACATGGTTGGGATATCTAGTCTTTTTAAAATGTACACAAAAGGATTGGTTTGCGTTACCTGTTTAGTATTTCAGTGAGTTTCACAAAGCCCGTGTAAGCCAATTCAAATGCTCCTCTGTGCCTGGACTGTAAAAGGTGTTGTTTAAAGTGCTCTCCTATTTCTTTTACCTTTTAAACAAAATTTAAAAAGAAATAAATGTTCAGTTTATGCTTACATTTACAGTTTTATGTAATATCATTTAGAACTCAGAGCTAGATAGATGTCCATCCATAACTCTACTGTGTGACAGGTAGTATTTTAAGCATTTTTGTATCATTTAATCTTCATAATAATCCATGAAATAAGCACTATTACCTCTATTTTACAATGGAGAAAATGAGGCCCAGAAAGGCCAAGTAACTTATTCAAGGTCACACAGCCTGGAAGTGTAGATCCAGAACGTAAACCTAGGCAGTCTGGCTCCAGAGTTGGCAATCTTGGAATGCTATATTAGAACTGCCTCCCTATGCCAGCCTCACAAATCTCACAGTGTTCTTTGTTAGCACATATTACTCAACACCAACAGCCAATCACACAAGGTGACAATCCTCACACACCTACTGTGGTTAGAATACACATAATGAAACTTACCATTTTAACCATATTTAAGGATTCAGTTCAGTGGCATTCAGTATATTCACATTGTTGTGCAATCATCACCACTATCCATCTACAGAACATTTTCATCATCCCAAAATGAAACTCCAACCCATTAAACAACTCCCAATAAATACCTTTTAGAGACACACAAATGTGAATGGCAAGATTTAGTGCAAAGGACTGAAAATTGACAGGCATTAACTTTGAGTCAGAACCATGGAATTTTCCGAAAGGCTACACACAGCTTTCCTATATGTTGCCCTTCGGCAAGCAAGGTTAGACAAATAACAATTACGACCATTTATTTTAAAGAAGACATGACTAACAATTAGTTGTTGATGAGATTTTGTACCAAGTTAACTGTTAAACTGGTTGGGTTGGCTGTATTTTTATTAACATTTGGTGGGTACTGGCTTCAGAAAATCCAGATTTTAAATAAAACTTCAGCACCCTGCCAAATGCTTAGCAGATTAGTGCAAGGGGAGATAGGGCAGAACAAACCAAGATGTCTGTCCTCACAGTGCTTCAGTTCAGAGGAAACCAATATGCTGGGGGTGTCCCCTAGAAGCTCATTTCATTCCATGTCATTAGAAATGAAAGATCCTTCTGACCTGGAATAGATTATTAGAAGAAGCTTCATATCCGGACATCAAATAGGACATACTTGAGTGGACCACAAAGGAAGAGGATAACTAACATGGAAAGAAGCTGGGTGGCTAGACTGAATGAATAAACACTTACTAAGTACCTGCTCCCAGCCAGACACTTGACTGGGTCTTTTCACATGACTGAATACAGAATAATATGACAGGGTTAGCAAACCTGGCTGAATGGCCTCGAAGTTTTATGCCAGAAAACAGTGAAAGGTAAGGATGCTCCCCATTACAAAGTGCAGAAGGCAGTGTGGCCTAAGAACAGCTGGCCATGCTGTTCTTCCACACCCTTCCACTGGATAATGAGACTACAGGGAACACAGCTGGTGCAAATGACTTAAAAATTAATGACAACAGTCAGAACAGGAAACAGAATATTTAATTTTAAAAATGAAAAAATATCCTGAAAACTTTCTATTAGATGCCACTAAGGTCTTACTTACAATTCAAAAAAAGCTTTCTTTTAACGTAGATGATGTCTTCACAAAATATTTTAATAAATAACATAGCTCTCAAGATTTTTGAAAGGGAATTAAGGTAAAAATACAAAAAAAGGCCCTGCTTTCTATTCTTAAAATTAAGTTCTAGTCATTGTCTTTTTAAGTTTAGCAGCTCCTGCTTTCTAACTTTTCATAAAGCCTACTTCTACAGGCATATTAATATGCTTTATGGGTTTACAGGGTGTGAAATTCCACAGGGAAGTACTGCTGCATGTCACGATTCTAGGCATCTACAATTCACCAGCAGTCTACTTAGGGGAGCTAACTGCTCATCTAGACATAAAACCCACAAAGGACAAATGTAAATATATTTTTTATTTGTCCTTTACATATGCCAGTAGGGAGAAATACAGAAGATCAAGGCTAATTCCACTCATTATAAATTAGATAAACCCAAGAGGATTTAAACACATGTGGAACATTTTACGAAAACACTGTACAGTGCTTAAGACTCAAGACTCTGAAGCCAAGAGGGCTGAGTTCAGGGTCCCTACTTGGCCTCCTTACTAAGGCAACTAATTAAGTAACAGTTCCCTGGTCTGTGAAACAGGGATAACACTAGAACCTACTTCACAGGATTATTCTGAGAGAAAAAGAAGATTATACATATAGCACTTAGCAAAGGACCTGGCACAGAATAGCAAACAATAAATGACCATTTTTGGTTTGGTTTTGTATCATCAAAGTGTAATGCTTAATTCTAAACCTTAATTTAAAGTCTGACTTTAAGCCCTAGCTGTTTTGGAGTAGTGGATAGAGCATCAGCCTGCGGACTGAAAGGTGCCGGGTTTGATTACGGTCAAGGGCATGTACCTCAGTCGCAGGTTCCTCCCCGGCCCAGGCCCTAGTTGGGGCGTGTGCAGGAAGCAACCAATCGCTTTGCTTTCCTCTCTCTTCCACTTTCTCTAAAAATCAATGGAAAAATATCCTCAAGTGAGGATTAATAAAAAAAAAAATAAATAAATAAATAAATAAATAAAGTCTGACTTTGAGTCACAGTCAATTCTTATAACCTTAGAAATATCACTAGGAGTTTCTAATTCCACATTACAGTTTATAAAAGTTTACACTATAGTAAGATAATTAATGTCTTAAATGGTACATTTTTCTACTATAGTGATTTCTTACGAATATTTGGGATTTCTTCAATGCCTAAACGTTGTTATCTTACATAATAACAACACAGATAATAGTTTTCTGTTATTAAAACATCTTACTAGAATGTTTGTTCTTTGATTTATAGCAAATTCTTAACTATGTGCCATTTTAACAATCGTCCTTTAGGCTGACTTTCTTCAATCCCCTATTATATTTCTAAGCTCCTGAGGTCAGAGAACCACATGTTACATTTCTTTATGTTCCCACAGTACCCCTGTAGTAAGACAGTCAATAAAGAGGTGACTAAATGCTGTGCATAACTTCATTTCACAGCTTAAAAATGTGAACCTGCATTCAGTACAATTGAAGGGATACTTTTTCACAATTTCTTTTAAAAAGAAAATACAAAAGGCAATTTCTTAAGGCTTATGAATGCTAATAAACATTTCCCATTTTGAGGTCCACTACAGAAAACCTAGAACAGTAACAAAAGACCTGAGGGAATGCATAAACCCACTTAGCCATGCACATCATGAAAATTACAACAGAATCTAAAATAGGGGTTTAAAAAAGACCTAATTTCTAATAGTTGATCATTATTTCTATTCATGTGATTTCTGTGGTAATCATTACTACCAAGGGGAAAGCAGCCAGAGAAATCTATCCAAAAGCTTCTTTTTAGGAATATTAGGGGAAATATATATGAATTGATACTCTAGATAGAGGAAGTTGTTTAAAAAAAATTAGTAGGAACTGGGTATCTGATATCCCCTGGAAAGAGGACCAACAACATGTATCAAGCAAAAACTCCCCATCAGCAAAACATCCAGCTTGAAACCGAGACACACACCAGCCAGGAAGCTGCGAGATAAGGTTGCGCAGAGTGCTCGCTCTCGAAGGGTCTCAGCTTACATCCCTCAAAGCTGGTTTGATCGCTGCCTCTTGTACAGGGACATTATGAAAGGACCTTTCATCATGTGATTACCTCTCAGGAGGGAAGTCAGACTGCCTCTGAATGAGCACATTTTCCTCTTGGGGAAGCTGCAGAGGACACACTGCTTCCCAAGTGACTTAGGGAAATGAATCATTTGCTAAAAAGTTCAGTAGCAAGTTGCCTTACTATCCTGTTGTTTGCAAAAATTTGGTTGGGTATGGGAAGTGGGAAAATTAAATCTAAAGAAAAATTAAATGAGCAGGTCAGAACAAAAGCAGCACTGTGCCGTGTCAGAACACAGGCTGGAAAGGAGAAGAATTGGGTTCCTGTCCCAGAGCTGCCACAAACCAGCTTTGTGATCTTAGGCAAACCAGGTAGCATCCAAGGGCTTCAGTTTCCCCTTGTACAAGGGAGCTGGATAATATCATCTCTGTGATCCTTCCAGCTCTAATAGTTTGTGAACATAGCACTGAATATTCAGAATTATAAATGAGCTCCAGTTCTTGGATGGCAACAAAAATCTCCACATTGTAATCTCACTACCTGCTGGCCTATCATAAACCACACACACATACGTGGTATTTAAGTGGTCCTCCCTTTAACAAAGGGCCATAAAGATGGCCATAAAGGAACTGTGCTATAAAGGAAATCCTACATTCAAGGCATCAAATTACCACAGAATTACCCTAGTTTTTCAAGAGTGAAGGGTGAGCAGAGAGTAGAGAAGCATAAGGCTGAACATCGGTATTTTAGGATGTAGGGAACTGCCTCCTTCATCCACTGAGAGAAAAGCAGATCACAGTTATTAGTGGTCTCGGGAATAAGAAATCCAAATTCTACATTCTCCCCCACAAAGGGTAGCATTCTGCCTACAAGCCACTTCACTGCCTCTGCTCTGCATGTCTGTTCTGGTCACCCTCAGCTACGGTGTTGACTTTTAAATTCTTAGTTTTGGCACTAGGTGCACAGAAGATCTAGTGTTGCCAGGGCAACTATGCCCTTGGAAGGAAGGTGGACCTTAGGCATGGCCCAGCTGCTCCAATGTAAATTACATTCTTCTCAGTCATTTATATTTTTAAATTCATAAGCGTTTTAAGTACATGGGAGTATTTTTAATTTAAAGAAATTTCATAGAACAAATTTTATGTTTAAAAGTGAGACTCCTTCAGTAATATGAATAAAACTAATTTCTTGAAGACTTCGGGTTTTCATTGACTAAATATGCTCCTACACTGAGGCATTTCTTTCAAGTCAGCATGACCAAGAATAAAGTTTTCCAAGAAGGCAGGGTTTCAATGCCAGAATAGTGCTATAGGGGACATTCTTGATCATTCATCCAGTTGTTAATTCTTCTCAAACCTATATAAGTGAGGTCACCACATAAACAGCGAGATAGGAAAATGACTAAACCTCATTAGACTAGAAACTAATATTTTACCGAAAAATAGGATGCAATTTTTTTTTCAAGAAAACAGTCATTAGAAGAGTTCTTTGATTTGTAAGAGCCTCTTTGTTATTGTTGCTGCTGTTCTTCTACACACATCTCTTTTATTGTATATTAACCCCCAATATTAACATGGTTATCCCACATAAATTAAATTCATAAGATTTGGGTGTTACACAAAAGATGGCAAGGCAAAATAATTTTCAAAGGAAGCTTTCAGGTCTTTCTCAGTTACAGTAAAAGCAAAATATGTTTCCCTTGTTGTTGTTTTTTTATAAACACTATCCAACAAACCCAAAATACTAGATGTTTTAACTTGTCCTTGAAAAGTTGAGACTCTAGCATATGTTTACTGTTTAGTGAGATGGTGACCATCAGTGAGGTAATCATTAATCATAGCTGGATTCCTCAGCAAATACGTTGGCATTGGCACTATAGCCAGTCACCAGCAAGGACTGCAAGTACTCTAAGACACTAACACCTATTTGATTTGGAAGAGAATAAGGAACATAACGATGCTGGCAGTGTACTGTTCCCTCTGCCATTCTCCATCTCAGGGCCTTGCAACATCATCACAAGCCCAGCCGCTAACCAGATGCGAGCACGTGAGCCTAAGAGAGTGTGAGAATAAAAATATTAGCAGTATTTCCACGGAACTAGTCAAATGGTTATTATAGAAATAATCAGCATTAGCATAGTACAATGTTTGTTTTGTTCTCAAATGTTGTAACACCCTAAGGGAAAAATTATCTTTATTTGAAAAAGGTTAAAAATGAAAGTACATGTTGCATATCTTTGCTAGAAAATGGTGGGAAATGGATTTGTTGAAACCACATGGAGAGGAAGAGGGAATCAATTAAAAATCAGAAATCTAATAAATCTAAAATATTTCCAAATGAAATGCTATGGTAAGCTAATTTCTTGTAAACACTGCACTCAAGTCACTTGAACAGTCCCAGATGGTGAACTAACTTTGTGGTCTTAAAATAAAAGTCAGCCAACAAGCCCAAGTGACTACAAACTTATTATCAATGGAGTGGGAGACAAGAAATCCATAATCAACCAATGTATTGCTATTTTTCCTTTGCAAAATGTAAGAGGCTTGTAGAGTTTTTCTAAATAATTTCATTTAAATTTGTATGTGTTAATTAAAATTAAAATGATAATATTGAAGCTAAAAGTGAGGTAAAATCCATAGTTATTTATATAACTTAGAAAAATAAAAATGTTTGTAAAAATTACATAGTTTTGAAATGTATCACAAGGTCTAATTCTTAAACTACCATAAACTTTCTTCAGTTGATATCTGTATGACTTTATTCAAGAAATAGTCATAATTCCTTTTTTTTTAAGTTGAGTTATAAATAAAAATTTGTGATCTGTGCTTTGACCAGAAATTATACCAGGTGAAATAAACATCTACCCCACCTGCTCCACAGTCAGTAATCCATCAGAACATTCTGGCACGGATTGCATGGGTAGAAGCTGGCACAGTGTGCCTAGAAGTAAAGCAACTTCCTTCATACTTCTCCAACAGCATACCAGCACCATCTGAGCGGTTACATCACATGTTTTTTCTTCTTTACCTAAAAAAAAAAATCTATTGCAACACTTGATTGCTCATATCCAGGTTTCTTAGAACAAACTTATTCATAATTCCCCAAGAATAATCTGCTTAAACAAACCAATTTGTCATAAATTATATTTACTCAGGAGAAAATAACTAACATTTGTTGAGCATGTCCTATGAGTAGGGATTGTGTTAAGTATTTTTTTAATATGCCATTTTCAAAATAAATTAAAAAATACAATACAATATTGTTTCAAAACTTAAGTATAACCTTGGAAATTCATGAAGTAAGTTCTGTCACTCAGTCATCTATAAAATATGACTATAACAATTATAGTTCATTACTTATTTTGGTGAGGGTGGCTGTTATATCAGTAAAAGAGTGGGATAGGGCTATTTAAATCGAAGGAAAATACAAATTCACTTTCAAAATATATTTAAATTCCATGGCAAATAAGCTATAATTATCCTTACTCTCTTTTCCTAGTTTTAGAAATATTTTAGTACTCACATTAAAAAAAGTCAAAGACAAATTATTAAATTTAAAAGGTAAATAAACAAACAATATTTACAATGTTATCCCATTTGTGTTTTTAAAAGCCCACTAAACTAAGAAGATAAATGTACACATACATAAATACATAGAGCATGTCTAAAAGGATATGTACTCAAAGGGAAGAAGTGGGATTAGGGATGAAGGAGGACTTTAATTTGTTTTTAAATCATATTTACCTCTGTATTGTTTGAAATTAATATAATAAGCAAATATTTATGTTATTTTGTGTAATGAAGAAAAAATACAGAAATTTTTATAAGACAATAGCCCCATCTAGTGGAGAATGCAGAAATGTGTAATAAATCGCTAAGATGATATTGCTTCTGATTTTTTGTAGCACTATAGAAAATTATAAAATAACAACTTATGAGAAAATAAGCAGTAAGAACTATAATTTCTGGAAGCTTGGTACAACAGAGCAGCTCACATTTCATTGAATAATAAGGTTTGTTTCCTTTAAAAGGCTGCTTGACTATAAGGACTCACAACAGACAAGGAACCATAGTGGAAGAAGCCGATTGCTGCCCAAACCCAAATTCCCAGTGCTTCCCTGCTCTTACATCACCTGGCTGTCAGGACAGGTTTTAGCACTCAAAGGCGCTCTGTTGTAGCAACTTATATACTGCTCTAAGGCACACCGTTTTCTGGTAAAAGTTTTATAAACTCATCCCCAAATAAATCATTTATAAGCTAAAAAAAAGACTTCATTTTCTAAAAGGCTCTGTACATATTTGCAGTCTGATTTACTGTATAAAAAGAGAATTTTGTACGTTTTTTTTCTTTGAAACTTAAACACTGATTACAATACTGATTTTATATAAGCTACCTTTGATTTCTGCAGAAGTATCAATATTTGGTACATTGGCATTCAAGTCCTCCAAATCAAAGCTATCATGTTCTTTCAATATTTTGGCTTGATTGAAATAATCATTAGTATCTCGTGGCTGAATCTCATTCAGAATCATCTGTAAGCGGCTTGCTGACTCTGAGGGAGAGAGATGACAGTACATAAAACCCCAGTTCAACACCACATGCTGATTTTCCTTGGAAGTATTTGCCCTAAAAAAATATTGTAATTTTAAATACTTGATAATGAGCTCTATTTGAAGGGACTCACAGGATGGATTATGTGATATTTATTTATATAAGGTCTCAATGACACCAAGTGTACGTTTAATATGTTGGTTTTTTTATTGATTTCAGAAAGAGGAAGGGAGAGGGTGAGAAACAGAGGCAACAACGATGAGAGAGAATCATCAATTGGCTGCCTCCTGCACACCCTCTACTGGGGATTGAGCCCACAACCAGAGTATGTGCTCTGACCAAGGATCGAACCATGACCTCCTGGTTCATAGGTCAAGGCTCAACCACTGAACCACACCGGCCGGGCCTCAGTGTACTTTTAAAATATGGCAAATATAGTAAATAGGTTGAGAAAGCGCACACACACACAAAACAAAAACACACAACAGAAACTGTCCATAGGACAAAGGCTGCCATTCCATCCACATCGCTTTTCTTAGTATTGTCTAAGAATCTCAATATGGTGCTCAATCATGTGAAAGAAAAGCAATAAACTTTTATAAATTTTATTCTTTATTTTTGCCTGCATTACATTTATTTGTTCTTTAATCATTACTTAGACAAAATTTTGCCTTTGCAAATATATTGTAATAGATAACTTTGTAACGTTTTATGTATTTCTGACTAGAAAATATTTCTAGAAGAGAAATTACATTGTAAAAAGGTAAGCATATTTTTTTTAATCCTCACCTGAGGATATTTTTCCATTGATTTTTAGAGAGAGTAGAAGAGAAAGGGAGAGACACACAAAGAGAAAAACATCGATGTGAGAGAGACATATCGACCGATTGCCTCCTGCATGCGCTGGGAATGGGCCAGGAATCGAGTCTGCAACCGAGGTACCTGAATCGAACTCTTGACCTTTCAGTCTGAGGGTGGATGCTCTAACCACCAAGAAAAACTGGCTAGGGCAGTGATGGCGAACCTATGACATGCGTGTCAGAGGTGACACGTGAACTCATTTTTTTGGGGTTGATTTTTCTTTATTAAATGGCATTTAAATATATAAAATAAATATCAAAAATATAAATCTTTGTTTTACTATGGTTGCAAATATCAAAAAATTTCTATATGTGACATGGCACCAGAGTTAAGTTAGGGTCTTTCAAAATGCTGACACGCCGAGCTCAAAAGGTTCGCCATCACTGGGCTAGGGCATAGCAGGAACTCTTGATATTAAAAGCAGTAAATTTCAAGAGGAGCACAGGTTTAGAAAGACAGACATTTGAGGGAAATGAAAAGTGACAGTGCATATCCTAAAGTGGAGGGAGAGAAGAGAAAACTATAAAAACAAATAGATGCAAGGACTCAAATGAGCGAAGTAAGTTTGGACAATGACATTATAGTACAGCAATCAATCTTCACATTTTATTCTTAAGAGGCTGTTTTCCCTATCTACAACACAAGTTATCAAAGTTTAAAAGTAGGAAGTTTTAAAGACATAAAGAAACCCCACCACCAACAAAAACAATCTTTATAGCCCAGGAACATCATAAAGATTTCAGATTTGACTTTTTAAATGCATTATGTAAAATACTGCTTCCTAAGTATGATTTACAGTCCTAGTATTATATTAAACTTCATTTTTATTCCCCAAGCACTCACTGGATCAGGAAATGTAAGCTCCATGAATGCAAAACTTTGTTCACTGCTGAGTGGCCAGTGCCTGGAACAGAAATTAGCTCATGGCAGAGGTTCAGTAACATGAGCTGAAGGAATGAACTGATGACTAGGTAATAAAGAGTTAGCCAGGTCAGGGTTTTAAAGAATAACAGGTAATCATCTGAAATCAAAGAGCAAATCAAAGAACAGGTATTTACTGTATACCTATTATATATACTTATATTTTAGGTATTATGGGAAATACGAAGACCCAAACTGCTATCATGATGATTCAACCAACATCTTTTATGTTTTCTTGTGGTTTCTGTGAGAGATTTTGCCAAAAACAAACAAATTTTGACAGCCATGAAAAAGTAACACTGGACCAAAAGAAACCATGAAAAGACTAAGGAAAAAGAGGGATTATCAGAGTAAAATTTTAAGAACTCTGCTATTCGATTTTATTGGCTTTCTGGGGAGACTCATTTCAAGGAATTCAGAATGCATGGCAAACGAGTGTGGGGGAGGGGTGGGCGGAGGAGAGTGGAGAAAACCAGAGGAAAAAACAGTCAAAATTGAGAAAAGATCAGTGCACCAAGGACAAGTTTTTGAGATCAACAGATATTTGTAAACGTTAATAACTATAATTTTAGCAAACATTCCAGGCTCTACCTACAACAGCTGACAGATATTCAAGATTTCTCATCCAAAATATACAGTCCTCGGGTTACGTCGGACTCAATGTACGTCGTTTTGTGGTTACGTCGTCGTCTCCATTTATTTATATATAAAAAAATGTTCCGTCATTTCGACGTATGTACATATGTGCTTTATGTATTTATTATTTATTTACCACAAGTAAAGGTCAGGAATTGTTATCTTTAATTTTTTTTTCTGTTTCACTTCATTACTGCTGTGTCTGTGCTCCATGTGAGTGACGTAAGTGCTTATGTAGGTGGGTTCTGACTTAGGGCAAAAATCGAGTTATGTCGCACCATAGTAACGGATCTCCGACATAACCCGAGGACCTACTGTACAGGGTGGGGCAAAAGTAGGTTTATACTTGTGGGTACATGAAACAGAGTTTATTCTTGTATTATTAGTTATCCTTTTATTATTTTCCATAAAAACTACTGTAAACTTACTTTTACCCCTCACTATACTGGTACTTCCCTGATTCAAATATTAGTTATTAAATGGGGTGTTCTTTATTCCTATGTACTAAGTAGGAAAGCTAAGGCATCAAATTTTTGTATTTAGACTACCAGCTAAAATAAATAAACAAACTATGTCTTAGTGTCATGAACCATCACCAATTTTCCAACTCATTTTTAGTAAAGAACAAAATCTAACATTTTCTATGCAAACATACACATCCAGGTTAAAGTATCAGTCCAAGGTATTACCTTGTATGCTGTGGTGTGTTTATGATACATTCAGTGTGTTTTTAATACAAGGCTCACAGTGGTACTCTAAAATGCATTTAAACTTAACATTTTAAGAGACCAAATGTAAATTTACTTCATTATTTTCTAGGTGTTAAGAGCCAATCCCTTCTGACCCGTTGTAGTACAGGAATATTATTATATACTAAAGGCCCGTGCATGAAATTCATGTACTCTGGCGGGGGGAGGGCGGTCCCTCAGCACAGCCTGTACCCTCTCGCAGTCCGGGAGCCCCCAGGAACCCACGGGGAGCAGGCCTAACCTGGCAGTCAGACATCCTTAGTGCTGCTGTAGAAGCAGGAGAGGCTCCTACCACCACCACTGTGCTCACCAGCCACGAGCCCGGCTTCTGGTTGAGTGGCGCTCCCCCTGTGGAAGCACACTGACCACCAGGGGGTAGCTCCTGCATTGAGCATCTGCCCCCTGGTGGTCAGTATGAATCATAGCAACCAGTCATTCCGCCATTCAATTTATTTGCATATTAGCCTTTTATTATATAGGATAACCTAGGGCATCCCAGGTACTGAGTTTAGTGCCCATTCTTTGAGGAATTATTAATTCATTGATTTATTCATTGTAACAAATATTTATTGTGTACCTATTTCTACTAGGCACTATGCTAAACACAAGGGGAAAAAACAGACAAGATCCCTATTAAACTGTAACAACTCCATGAAGAAGCACTCTATGGGAAGTAGAGAGTGGGAAGAGACAAGGCTGGTCAAGTTGCAGGAGCCAAATTATTACATGACCTGGTCTTAGATCACTAAAGTATTTTAAATAAGGGGGCTAGGGTGGGACAGGGCACAAGGGTCAAGTAAAGGTTATGTGTGACATGATGAATTATATGATTAGAAAAGATTACTTTCGGTGTCGCAAGAAGGAGATAAGAGTAGAAGTGGGGAAACCAGTTCAGAGGCCCCTAGTACAAACAAAAGAAGATAAAAGTCTGGAGTAATGTCAGAAGATGCAGATAAAAAGAAAAGAGATTTGAAAGATATTTAAGGGAACACTGAAAGAATGTAGAGACAGGCTAAATATAAACGCATAAGATGTCAAGCAGCCCTAGGCACCTAACTTGCCATTTGCAAAGACACAGGGGTTGGGAGGGAAAAGACAGATGAAAGTTCAGGATATCAATTGGGGGCATTTTGAGGATCTTTTTTTTTTTTTTTTAATTAAATGGTCTTTGCCCATTTCAGATTCCTAAAAAGCTGCCTTCTCTGATTGAACCCCATCTATTGCCCCCTCTCTAATTTATACTACCCGTGCTCCCAGTCCCAGCAATTACCTAGTAGATTGTGTTCTGAAATGACAATAATAGAAAACCCAATTTACCACAGGGGAGGAAGCACCTTATCACCTGGTTATTATTTATTTATTTAGGTTATTTTATAACACTTAAAAATATTAGTAAAAAGGCAGAAATATCACTAATAATAATACTTTTTCTCCCTTATTTGCCATGTACAACTCTCCAAATAAATGATTAGGAAAAGAATTTAAAAGAAAAGAAAAATACATGAATTTGAGCTTTCTTTGTTTGCTGACCTGAATCAGTGTCCATTGGGATGAGGCCTTCTGGGGATGAGCTCTGAATGACGGGAGCCACCACAGCAGAAAGCCTGTAGGACATCAGAAGGAGCTGCTGCACCACAAGTCTCCATTCACTCACCAACTGCAGGCTGCTGCAACAAGGGCGTTAGGGAAATTTATACTAAAGAAAAAATCAGATTCTATAAGTAGAAATTAATAGATAAAAGGAGTTGAAAGAATTTGTGTTTCAAAATTGTGCATTCTATGGAATATTTAAGAAATAAAAATGTGGCCCTAGCTGATTTTGCTCAGTGGTTAGAGCATCGGCCTGCAGAGTGAAGGGCCCCAGGTTCGATTCCAGTCAAGGGCATGTGCCGAGGTTTCGGGCTTGATCCCCAGGAAGGGGTGTGCTGGAGGCAGCCGATCAATGATTCTCTCTCATCATTGATGTTTCTATCTCTCTCTCCCTCTCCCTTCCTCTATGAAATCAATAAAAATACACTTAAAAAAAATAAAAATTAAAAAACAAAAAAGAAATTAAAATGTGTGTATATATGTACATTTTTAATTATCTGTAAGGCCACACATTCCTTTCCCAGGACATATTCCAATAAGAGTTTGAAGCCCAGAAATGAGTGTTTAGGAGAGAACTGTGGATGCACTTACTTTAGAGGTAACTTCTGGAAAGCCCTTGTTATACAGTGGACTCGCCCATACATTGGAAATGAAGCTGCTGCCTGAAGCAACGAATTTTCAGCCTGAGATACTTCTTCCTCAAGATTTTCCAACAAGCATTTGATAACTAGAAAAATCAAACAAAAAACACACAAAGTAATGCAAATTTAAGAAGACACATAAATTTGTGAATAGCAAAACAGTTCCCATGAAAACACCCAACTCAACTGATCTTTATACGAGAGGTTTTGAATTTTAAAAAAAGATCTTTCAGGGTAGCCACCCTGTTATCCATTTCTAATTAAGGTAGAACTGAGTGTCTTTCCCTGATTTCCTGGATCTATTTACAGCATTCACTCTGAATCATTCCTCCTAGAATCCTCTACCTGGGGTATTAGACCCTAGGCCCGCCCAGGTGCCATGTGCTGTTTGGACAGCAGATTTTTTTTAAATAATAGCTTTATTGTGATATAAATCACATATCATATATACATTTAAAGTGCACAAATCAGTGTTTTTTTAGTATATTCACAGATATGAAAAACCATCACCACAAATTTATAACATTTTCATCCGTCCCCATCAAAAGCCCTTCACCCTTACCAGTCACTCCCCTCCCTATACCTCTCATCTACCCCAGCCCTAGGCAACCAAGGATCTATTTTCTGTCTCTATAGATTTGCCTATTCTGGACATATTATATAAATGGAATCATACAATATATGACTTCTTTCACTTAGCATAATGTTTTCAAAGTTCATCCATGTTGTAGCATGTATCAAGATTTCATTCTTTCTTACAAATGAATAATAAATAGTCCATTGCATGGATATACCACATCGTGTTTATCCTTTTATCAATTGGTAGACATGTGGGTTGTTTTCACTTTTTAGCTATTATGAATAGTGCTACTATAAACATTGTGTGTGTGAGTTTTTGTCTGGACATACTTGCATTTCTCTTTAAGTACGCATCCATTATGAACTGAATGTTTGTATCCCTCCCACCAAAAAAATTCATGTGGAAGCCCTAACCCCCAATGTGGTGATGTTTGGAGGTGGGCCTTTAGGAAGTAATTTGATTTCGATGAGGTGATGAGGGTAGGGCCCTCCCTGGTAGGATCAGTATCCTTTTAAGAAGAGGAAGAAAACCTGCTCTCTCCCCTCCCTGTGGGCACAAAGCAAGAAGGCTCCTGTCTGCAAGCCATGAAGAAGGTCCCCACCAGGAATGGAAGCTGCCAGCACCTTAATCTTGATATTCCCAGCCTTCAGAACTGGGAAAAAATAAATGTCTGTTGTTTAAGGCATACAGTCTATGTAGCTTGTTATAGCAGCCTCAGCTATAACAAGCTAAGACAATGCCAAAAATTGAAACTGTGGAGTCATATGGTAACTCTGTATTTAATATTTTGAAGAACCTACAGACTGTTTTCCAAAGTGGCTGCACCATGTTACATTCCCAACAGCAGTTATGACGGATCCACTTTCTCCACATCCTCATCAACACTTGATACTATCTAATATTTTACTATGGTCATCCTATGGGGTGTGAAGTGCTTCCTCACTGTGATTTTGATTTGCTAATGGCTAATGATGTTGAACATTTTTTCATGTGCTTATTTCTCATATTTGTCTTTTTTTGCCTATTCAGAATGTTCACATTGACATTATTTATTTAGAAAAGAGAAGTCCATCAACAAGAGAATGCATTAATAAACTTTAGTAAGTGTATATAATATGTAGTAGTATTTATATAAAATTCAAAGTCATGTAAAAGTAAGTAATATATTGTTTAATGATATATACACAGGTGGTAAAATCTTGGTAAAAACCAAATGAAAGATTAATATAAAACAGAACAGTAATTATATGGTGGGGAGAGAGAACTGGGATAAAGGAGAGCCTTCAAAGGTGTGGCTGCTGGTGTATTTAAGCTGGGTGTTATCATCTAGCTAGGGAAAAAACTTGTCAAATTTTTAAATTATTACTATTTAAATCCTGTATATATTTAAATATTCTTGGAATATTTAAAATATTTCATAAAGGTTAAAAATGTCGGAGAAAATAATTTTCAACTCTCTATCTGACCTCTCTTTAAAAAATATTCCTATCTGTCCTTATTTCCAGTATAATTCCAAAATGAAGATTTATTAGCCTAAAATTAAGTACATAAATCCCAAACAAATATTTGTTGAAAAGCACTATATCTAAACCAACTCAGGCCCTGGATTTTAGAACTAGCTATATGGAAAGAACAAAAGCAGGTTCAAGACAGGCAGTTAAAACATAAACCCTGACAGCAAAGGAACTCTCTGTTCTATAGAGAAATAACAAAGATGATCTGGATATAGCCATGGTAAAATTTCTGCAGAAAAAAAAAAAGTACATTTTTAGTAGAGAGTTTCATAATAGCTTTACTAATGTATATTTGTATATTTACTTATTTAACACGAACATCTGTTTAAAAACAAATGTTAGAGCTAAGTAAACTGTGCATAGAAGAAACTTGTGGTATTTTTATATGCTAGTAAACTACTATGCTGGTAAACTCTTAAATAAAATAAACCACAAAGAAATGTTTAACCATTAAATATTCTAACCACATGAGTAGTGAACGAGTAAGATACTGGTTTTGATAAATAAGAGCAAAAGGTCATTTACTCAATACAAACCCATCAATGTGTTCCTTTCTACCACAGCAGCAGACTTATCTCCATTTCCACATGCAGCCTGCTGAGCTTTTACATAGGCCGACAGAGATGACGGCAGGGCATTCTGACAGATTAAGAAGTTCAGCAGGTAGGAAGCCGTTACACAGTCATATGGTTTGGTGCTGGTGCTGAGAGCCAGTGCTGCCTGGAATAAGTCTTGCAGTTTCTCTGAATCCTAGAATAAAGCACAGACTCAGTAACTGTCACTAAAACATTTCTTTAATTTGAAGGAATAATACATATTTTAAAAAAGGGCCTGCCACATAACTCAATAAGAACATCAATTCCCTTTCTCCCTAAATATAGGTTAGGGTTTTTATCACAGTGATTAATGATTATTATTAATTACTTCTAGTAATCAGGGTCTCGAAAATAGTATCAGTTGAGAAATTCAACAGTGATATAGCTTTTTTTAAAAAAGTATCTCTTTCTTAGCAAAAGTTTATGTTTTCCTATACAATTCTGCTATGACTACAGCTAGATCATTTCCGTTATTTCTAGATGGAGCAGAGTTCTTTTGCATCCAGGTGTGTTTTACCTGGGCAGCATACCCTACCTTCTTCCTTCCCCCTTCTCATAGAGCTAGTTCAAAGGAGGAAAACATAAATCCATACAAAAATACAAAGCCACCAGCCTGTTCCTGGCATAGATCCATGTATACGCATGGAAAATAATCAGAAAAGCCTCCGAAATTCTGCATCAGATCTCCCACACCTGTATCTCATATACAAATCCACTCACGTAGCTCATCCTAAAAAAGACAGAACAAAGCATGGAAAGGCAGTGGGCTGAGGACAGGAAATGTGGTCCTAGTCCCAACTCCAGGGTTGACATGGTACATGTTCACCATGCTGGAACTCAGGGTTTCACTGATCATAATATTGATTTGACTAGGATTATTCCATAACTATCTAATATAGGAAAACAATCATTATAAACTTAATTTTTAATTTCATTATATGTACACTCATAATTAATGATGTCAAATGTACTAATGCAAATATCAGTTTATTTCCATTTTAATTCTTTGCCTTTTGATACGTTTAATTTTTTATGACCTAAAAAACTGAAAGATAGTGGCCAAAAGCCACTTTTTGAAAGGACCAATTAAGCATATAAGCCATTTTTTATAACTGACAGTAAGCCTCTGAATTCCTTAACTAAGCCTTTGATAGCCTTTGGAATATAAAATATCTTTGTTCTACCATCTCAGGTCAATCAAAATATGATATGAAGGAAGACCTTGGATATGTAGCTCTACTATATATGTATGTGTCTGTACACACACACACACACATATATATACATATATAGATAAAAGTCCTTAGAGAGCTTAGATTAGCATTCAGGAATGTTTTAAAGTTAACTATATTAAAAATTAATTATATATTAATATTAAGCATATCCAAAAAAGACTTTGGAAATATGTAATTAATATTTAGTATCTTGACTATCTATTCCTAAGATCACTTTACCAATATGCAAGCCAGACCAGATATTAGAACTACCCAAATCCTACAGCAAACCGCATGTGCTACTCAGTTTTCTGAATTCTGCAGTAGTATCTAAGGACCAAGCACACATTTATCAAATTAGAGATACAGAGGCCCCCTAAGAACCCTTCATAATTCATGTAAGGACCAAGTCTTTCATAAATGCAATAATGTACCTTCCCCACTCCAGATACTCTCAAAATATTTGCCAGGAATGAGGTATCCTATATAATAAAAGCCTAATACGCTAAGTGTCTGACCATTCATTAACCAGTCGCTATGATGCACACTGACCACCAGGGGGCAGACACTCTGACCAGTAGGTTAGGTTGCTGCTGGGGTCCAGCTGATTGGGACTGGGTGAGACAGGCAGACATGCCCTGGAGTCTTCCCTCAGTCCCTCCCCGGCCCCAATGGTGCACTGGTGGGGTCCCCCAGGCCTGGCCTGTGCCCTCTCTATGCCGCAATCCAGGACCCCTTGGGGGATGTCAAAGAACCAGTTTCAGCCCGATCCCTCAGGCCAGGCCAAGGGGTCCTACCAGTGCACGAATCCGTGCACCAGGCCTCTAGTAGTTTTATAAATATGAACATAAATGTGTATTACAAGTCTAGTGCGATGAAAGAAAAATAAGGATCAAGGAAGAAGGGAGTGTGGGAGAGGAGAAAGAAAGTGGAACGTGAGAAAGTATCTTCTTTAAGAACTCTGTAGGGTACAAAAGTTAGAAGCTGAAGCACCAAAGAAGCTTCTGCTCACCAGAGCACCTGAAAGACCACAGGGATAGGTGAACACTGAAGAGCAACTCCAACATGGATTCAAGTTAGAAAAAATACTCTGAGATCTTGCGAGGCCATCTAGAAGCCATGGGACAGACACCTTGTGACATGTGCTCCTACAGAATCCACTGCATCTACAAGCTGCCATGCCCTAAACATAGCCTAATAGCTGGACCCCTAGGCTCCAGCTGCAGCCCCTGCAGGTGCCCTTGACCTTTATACAGCTCTAACAGAAAGCCATAACAAAGCTCTAAAGCCAGTGACCCCACAGCTGCTGGTGAGCTCACAGCCCCAGAATAAGCCTAAAGGGCAAAGCAGAACCCTGAGCTACGGAGCCCCTACAGACCCATCCCTATGCTGTGCCCTCATTTCCAAGCCTATCTTTGGTTTCCACCCCAAGGTGGGAAATGCAAAGTGTCAGGAAGAGAGTGGGGGCTGGGGATGGAGTCGACCTCCCGGGGAGAGAACTGGCTGTTAACCTCAAGTACTCTGGGTTTCAGTCTCAGTTCAGTTATTGCTTGTTGGAAGATCAGAAACATGTTTTCTGCCTCACTTAACACTCAGCTTCCCAGTCTACTAAGCAGGGAGATTATCTCAAAAATTTTTACTCCAGTTACTGTAAGTGCTGTGTTTTGATCAAATATTAACATGTCCAAGGAAACTGGAGAGACCACAGTTAACTGAAATCTACCAATAATCTCATGAACAATAAAACCTACTGCCTCCTACACCTCCTTTTTTATCAAAACAAAAAAACAAAGCTCACTGATTTGGACTTTGTTTTTTTTGACAATACTTCCACCTCCCCCACCACCGATCCCCACCTCATCCATCACCCCATAAGGGTAGATGTATTAATGATAACTCAAACAGCCAGAAGATATAAGAAGGCAGATGCAAAGAGCCTGGACAATCCACTGTTTTAACTGTTGCTTTAAACAAGCATGTCAAACTCGCAGCTAACAGGCCACATGCCTCATTTAAACCCACTGGTTGCGAGTTTGTCATGCTTGCTTTAAACAGGAAGTTTTCATGCATACACATCTACATAGGAAAAGTCCAAATACCTGAAATTGTATAAATGTTCTTGGTAACTTCATCAGAAGATCAAATGCTAAAAGTTTCACTGTTTCAAAAGTGCTAGTAAAACATTCCATTAGTGTTTGGAAACGACCAACATCAATATCATGACTCAGCTGATACACTGTTTGGACTTGACCTAAAAAAATAAATAAACAAACAAACAAACAAACAAACATTTAAAAGTCAATAAAAAGAAAAGGAAGTCAACATTTTTAAATCATTTGGACAAATTTATAGAAAATTCATACAAAAATTCACACTTCATACTTTACCCATAATAGCATAAAAGAATAATTTTTCCATTAATTTATTTCATAAAATGCTAAAATAATAAGTATTACGTTTTCCAATAGGAAGTAAAATTTTTTAATTTGTTTAAAAAATTCTCTTTCAAAAGGTTACATATTATATAACAGACAACTAAGTTATTTTTTGAATAAAAACCAATAACTTAAGAATTACATCTTTTTTAAAAATCATCATAAAACTTCTTGACCTAGGAGCCAAAGTCCTACCATGTCTTGGTTGAACTGACACTGAATAATCAACATGACACAGCCTAACAGAATTACTGGGCATCAAAGATAAAGAAGAAATCTTTTGGCCATTCAGGCAAAGAAAAGCTAAATTCAGCCACAAAATGGAAAAAGTTAGTCTAGCTGCACTCTTCACCAGAGCAACAGGTAGTGCTAGAAGACAGTGAAGCAATGCTTACAAAATCCTCAGGGAAAGAAGGAGTGACAAAAACCCGTGAAACCCGTGTATCAAAATCCTATTCCAGTATCAAGTATAACAGCAATATAATTACAATTACAATATAATAACAGCAATAACATTATAATTATATTTAACAATATAATTATAATTACAATATAATAACAGCAATAAAAAATATTCTTTTATGCTATTATGGGTAAAGTATGAAGTGTGAATTTTTGTATGAATTTTCTATAATATAAATATTTTTCAATGTGCAAAAATTTAAGAACTATGTTTTCCCAACTCTTCCCCAAAAAAGACTAATGTTGGCCAACCAAGAAATGAAAAGGAAAACTATCACAAAAGAATGATGGCAGTCACCGAATTCATTTAACTCTAAGATCAAGACGGAACAACTATGGCAAATAATGGGTTTCAGAGCAGAATGTGAGGCATATTTAACAGCATTTAACAAATCAACCCCTGCTAATAATTGAAAACATTCCTATGCTTACTTAACTTGAGGAATGTTGTTCAATATAACTGCTTTTAATTTAATCTTAACTCACAAGTTAGTATAACCCTGTAAAACAACCAGAGCAAGAAAGTGAAATTTTTGTCACTTCATTCACACCTCTGCTCAAATTTGCTTCTTCTATTCAAATTCAGATACCTTTTGCCAGGTTTCTCTTGCCTGATTGTTCTGGCTAGAACTTTCACTACAATGGGGAATGGCAGTGGTGAAAGTGAGCATCTGTGTCTAGTGCCTGATCATAGGAGAAAGGCTTTGCCTTTACCAGTGAGTATGATATGGTGTTGGCTGTGAGTTTTTCATGAATGTTCTTTATCATACCCAGGAAGTTCCCTTCTAGTCCCAGTTTGCTGGGTGTTTATCATAAAAGGGTGTTGAATTTTGTCAATAGTTTTTCTACATGAATTGAGATTATCATGTGTGTGTGTGTTTCCTTTGTTCTAATGTGGTATACTACACTGACTATTTTTTTATGTTGAACCACCCTGACATTCCTGGGATTAAATTCCAGTTACTTAGTCAAGGTATATAACACTTTTAAAACACTGTTAGATTTGGTTTGCTAGTACTTTGATAAGAATTTTTGCATCAATATTCATAAAGGAGACTGGCCCACAGTTTTCTTGTGGACTCTGTCTGGCTTTGGTCTCAGGGTGATGCTAGCCTCAGAGAATGAGTTAGCACAGTGGTTCTCAACCTTCCTAATGCTGTGACCCTTTAATACAGTTCCTCATGTTGTGGTGACCCCCAACCATAAAATTATTTTCGTTGCTACTTCATAACTGTTATTTTGCTACTGTTATGAATCGTAATGTAAATATCTGATATGCAGGATGTATTTTCCTTGTTACAAATTGAACAGAATTAAAACATAGTGATTAATCACAAAAACAATATGTAATTATGTATGTGTTTTCGGATGGTCTTAGGCGACCCCTGTGAAAGGGTCATTCGACCCCCAAAGGGGTCGCGACCCACAGGTTGAGAACTGCTGACTGTTAGCGGATGTTCACTCCTCTCCAATTTTTTTGGAAGCATTTGAGGACTGGTGTTACGCCTTCTTTAAATGTTCAGTAGAATTCACCAGTGAAGCCACTGCTAGGCTTTGCTGAGAGGCTTTGCATTACTCTATCTCTTTACTTGCTATGGGTCTGCTCAACTTTTCTATTTTTTTTCTTGAGTCAATAATCTTATGTTTCTAGGAATATGTCTATTTCGTCTAGGTTATTTAATTTATTGGAAATACAATTATTCATAGCATTGTCTTCTGTAGGGCGCGGCTATAGGGTTAAGCCTTGGACTGACCTGTTGGCAAAGCCACAAACAAGTCCCAGCTTAGAGGGCACAGCCCTCTTAGCATAATTAGGCTTGACCTTATGACACTCCGTAGGTCAGGGGTGGGCAACCCCTGGCACGCGTGCCAAACATGGCAAGCCAGTAACTTTTGCTGGCACACGAAACCCTCTCTTATACTCTTCCATTTACAATTTTTTTCTTAATATCGACTTTTTTATTTTTCAGATAAATTCAGTGTAGGTGCATCTTAGATAAATAAATAATTTTACATAACAAGTTATCTTAAAGACCACAGACATGGATTGACGAGAGAGGGGAAGAGCAATTTCTATGCCTCTGCCTTAACTCTCCCTGCCTTCCTAGATCCGACCAGCGTTTTGGTTTCATCCACATACGCTTGTGAATCTTTGTTCTCAGTGATGAATTTTGTTAAGTCTCCTAATAGGAGTAGCCTGATGGATGAAAGTAATAGCTTGTGCATATCTCTGAAGGTCACGAAATATAAACCTGATGTAAAATCTCTGTCATCAGTGATGCAGCAGCAAAAGTCCCACTGATAATATCAAATGGAATCATAAAGTTTTCTGTCGGATTATCAGTGTACATGTATACATTAAAAAATAAATGTACTTTTCACCATATACTGTGTTTTTGTCGCTCGAATGAATTTTATTATTTCTTCAAGGTTCTTCACATACGTACACCTTAAGAGATATCAAGTAGGCGTAACATGTTCTCAAAAAATTAGGGTTGGCACGCAGAAGAATTTTGAGTCAGAGATTTTGCTGGTTTTGGCACGCACTCACAAAAAGGTTGTCCCTGGTCTAGGTGGATCTTCCTGTGCCTGGCTGAGGCCACACAGAGAGAGATCCAGACAGCAAGCTGAGCCTTTATTTTATAGTCAAAGGTAAACAAGATAGTGGTCACCATAGTTACAATGTTCTTGTGAGTTTCACTTGTTTAGGTAGCACTTGCTGCACTTCCCACAGCCCATTAGCTACTCAGATAAGATCTAGGGCAGGGGTGGGCAACCTTTTTGTGAATGTGTGCCAAAACCAGCAAAATCTCTGACTCAAAATTCTTCTGCATGCCAATCCTAAGTTTTTGAGAACATGTTATGCCTACTTGATATCTCTTAAGATGTACATATGTGAAGAACCTTGAAGAAATAATAAAATTCATTCGAGCGACAAAAACACAGTATATGATGAAAAGTACATTTATTTTTTAATGTATACATGTACACTGATAGTCCGACAGAAAACTTTATGATTCCATTTGATATTATCAGTGGGACTTTTGCTGCTGCATCACTGATGACAGAGATTTTACATCAGGTTTATATTTCGTGACCTTCAGAGATATGCACAAGCTATTACTTTCATCCATCAGGCTACTCCTATTAGGAGACTTAACAAAATTCATCACTGAGAACAAAGATTCACAAGCGTATGTGGATGAAACCAAAACGCTGGTCGGATCTAGGAAGGCAGGGAGAGTTAAGGCAGAGGCACAGAAATTGCTCTTCCCCTTTCTCGTCAATCCATGTCAATGGTCTTTAAGATAACTTGTTATGTAAAATTATTTATTTATCTAAGATGCACCTACACTGAATTTATCTGAAAAATAAAAAAGTCGATATTAAGAAAAAAACTGTTGCCCTGACCGGTTTGGCTCAGTGGATAGAGCGTCAGCCTGCGGACTCAAGGGTCCCAGGTTTGATTCCGGTCAAGGGCATGTGCCTTGGTTGCAGGCGCATACCCAGTGGGGAGTGTGCAGGAGGCAGCTGATTGATGTTTCTCTCTCATCGATGTTTCTAACTCTCTATCCCTCTCCCTTCCTCTCTGTAAAAAATCAATAAAATATTTAAAAAAGAAAAAAATTGTAAATGGAAGATTATAAGAGAGGGTTTCGTGTGCCAGTAAAAGTTACTGGCTTGCCATGTTTGGCACGTGTGCCAGGGGTTGCCCACCCCTGGCCTAGACCCAGTTTATTCTCTTTGTCTGTCTTTTCTTCATCCTTCCCCATGACCCTCCCCCACCACCCTTCCAGCCCCCCTCAGTCTTGTGAACCCTTGGCTGAGCTGGCTCGGCACAATCTTATAGTCCTTTTTATTTCTGTAAGGTCAGTGGAAACATCCTTACTTTCATTTCTGATTTTAGTTGTTTACGCCTTCTTTCTTTTTTTTCCTAGTATAGTCAAAACTTGGTCAATTTTGGTGATCTTTAAAAAAAACCAACAACCCCAACTTTTGGTTTCGTTGAGTCTCTGTACTGTTTTTCTATACTCCATTTCATTTATCTCCATTCTAATCTTTATTATTTCCTTCCTTCTGCTAGCTTCCAGTAAGGTTTGCTCTTCTTTTTCTAATTCCTTGAGGTATAGCTTACTGATTTGCGATTATTTTCTTTTTAAATGTAGGCATGTACAGCTATAAATCTATGACCTCTGCTTTGGCTTCATCCCATACGTTTTTGTATGTTGTGCTTTTGTTTTTATTCCTCTCAAAGTATTTTCTAATTTCCCTTGTGAGTTCTTCTTCACCCACTGGTTGTTTTAAGGGCTCTAGTCAAATGTGAAGCTTTCTCTGTATGAAACAGCTAGCACTGCCCATCCTCCCAGGCAATCCATATCTCCCTCCCCTTCTCTTCATGAAATATTTTTTCATAGTACTTATCCCCATCTAAAAACATACCTATTATTCGGCAGGGTCTGACTCCCTTCACTAAAATCTAAGCTCAAAAATGGGAAGCACTTTGTTTCGTACACTGCGTATCCACAGCTGCATGACATATAATAGCTAAATAAATATTTACTGAACCAACACCTTTAATCTAACTGAGGAATCAAGTTTTTCACCATAAATACTGTGATATTTTATTCTGAGTAAGAAAGATGCATGTGCTTATTCTTCTTGAACTAGGATATATTTGAGGAAAGGAAGAAACCATTTGACTATTCCCAAATCACAGACCTTCTATAAAATAATACAGAAACTCACATTAAAGTTCTTGTGATAAAGATGAAAAATAAATTTACATTTCCCATCCAGTATTTCATGGTCATACCTTCGTAGTCTCCTTTAAAGTTAATGGGTATAGTGTGGCTTGCACCATTGCATTATCCCCACGTTGTTTAATAAACAGAAATACTGTGATGTCAGTCACTGCCCAATTATATGTGACTCATTCATTAGGAATATGACTCAGGTTTTTCATTTTTAAAGTACATTTACATATGTTAAACTACTCTCTCAATTGAAAAATTACCAGCATAATTCAGCCCAGTGTTACTTCCCCTACACCTAGGTGCAACTATACAGAAAACTTTTTGTTAACTGGATAAGCAATCACTTGTAGCAAAACTTCATTTCCTAAGTTCAGTTGTAGTACCATTGAAATTTTCTTTACTGATGGATGCCTCTATTAACATTTTCTGAGGCTGTTGTAACAAATTACCACAAACTTGGTGGCTTAAAACCATAGAAATCTATTCTCTCACAGTCCTGGAAGCTAGAAGTACAAAATCCAGGTGTTGTTAGGGCCATGCTCACTGTGGAGGCTCAAAGGGAGAATGGTGCCTGACTCTTTCAGCTTCTGGTGGCTGCCAGGATTCCATGGCTTGTAGCCATAGCTCTCCAATCTCTACTGTCACACTGACTCCTCTCTATGTGTCATATCTCCCTTTACCTCTCTCTTATAACACTTGTGATGGCATTTAGGCCCATCCAGATAATCCACGGTTATCTCATTTTAAGATCCTTAACTTAATCACTTCTGCAAAGAATCTTTTTCCAAGTAAGGCTCACATTCATGGGTTCTAGGATTTGATGTGGATACCTTTGGGAGGTCATTTTTCGGCCTCCCACACCTACTCTCCTCAGGTGATCAAATTTACCATCATAAACAAGCCAACATTATGTACCTCCTGCTATGATGCCCTGAGAAAAACATCACATCACCTATGAGATATTCATACCAAAAATGCAAAACCTGGAAACAGGAAGACTGAGACACATTCCTCCAAAATGTTAATGTCACGAAATAAGACGCTTTCCAGATTAAAGGAGGCTAAAAGAGATAATAACAACGAAATGCAATGTATGATCTTGAACTAGTTTCTGGATTACAGGTAAAAAAATTTTTTCTAAAAAAGGCCACTTAATGGGACAACTGGCAAATTTTTAATATAGGTTGTATATTAGATAACAGCATTATATCAACATTAAATTTCCAAAATTTGAACGTTGTGTTATAGTTAGAAAATTAATGAGAGATAAATAAAGCAAATATGGCAAATTCGTGAATAATGTCATTTTGTTCAACATCCTTTCTTAATAACATTGACATGGGTGGATTTAATTCCTGCAAAGGCCACTTTCTGTGTGAAATCTGCAAGTTGTCCCCATGTCTGCATGAGTTTCCTATGGGCAGCCCAGTTTCCTCCCACATCCCAAAAATGTGCATGTTCGGTAACAGCTGTGTCTAAATTGTCCAGTCTGAGTAAGTGTTGGTGTGTATGTGTGTGAGTGTGCCCTGCAATGGAAAGGCATCCTGTCCCTTGTGCCCTGAGCTGCCAGGGTGGGCTCAGGCCACCTGAGACCCTGACTGGAATAAATGGGTTAGAAAAGAATTATCTTACTTGTTTTTATTAGTCTTTCTTAAATGTACATGTAATCTCACATTTATTTCAATGCTTAATATTAGAAGTGTTTCAGGTCTTTTTTTAGAAGTTTGGGGATGTTTCTGTGGCCAAAAGTACGCTATAGAAACTTAACTCTTGTTTATATCAATTAGCCTGTGGTAAAATTGGTTTCGTTACACATTGTTTCACTTAAAGCTGCAGTTTCCAAGAACCCATTTATATATTAACTAGAGGCCCAGTGCACGAAATTCATGCACTGGAGGGGGGGGGGGGGTTTCCACAGCCGGCCTGTGCCCTCTCACAGTCCAAGAGCCCTCAGGGGATATCCGACTGATGACTTAGGCCCACTCCTTGTCTGCCACTGCTGCTGCGCTTGCCAGCCATGAGCCCAGCTTCTGACTGAGCGGCACTCCCCTTGTGGGAGCGCACTGACCACCAAGGGGCAGCTTCTGCATTGAGCATCTGCCCCCTGGTGGTCAGTGCATGTCATAGCAACCAATTGGGCTGAAACCGGCTCTCCAACATCCCCTGAGAGGTCCCAGATTGCAAGAGGGCGCAGGCCAGGCCGAGGGACCCCACCAGTGCACGATAGGGCCAGGGAGGGACATGGGAGGTTGGCCAGCCGGGGAGGGACCACAGGAGGGGTCCAGGGTGTGTTTGGCCCATCTTGCTCAGTCCCGATTGGCCAGACACCAGCAGCAAGCTAACCTACTGGTTGGAGCATCTGCATTGAGCATCTGCCCCCTGCTGGTCAGTGCACATCATAGTGACTGGTCAGCCAGTTGACTGTCTGCCCCCTGGTGGTCAGTGCACGTCATAGCAAGCAGTTGAGCGGCCTTAGCATATCATTAGCATATTACACTTTGATTGGCTGAACAGCCAACTGGACGACTGGACACTTAGCATATTAGGCTTTTATTATATAGGATGGCATCGTATAAACAAGTGATAAATCTAGGTAGAGGGTACACAGTTGTACATTGAACTGTTCTTGAACCTTTGCTGTTTGGCTTGAATTGTTTTCAAATAAAAATTTGGGGGGGAAAATGGTTTTCTCCAAATGAAGCAAGCCTGTATTAATATCAAGTAACTCTGCTCCCAGCTAAAAAAAGTATACTTTGCCTAAATATTTAAACTAAAAAAATAAATAAATAAATCCAACGATATAATAAAGTTCTCTGATCCTCCGGCCATTGCTTTCCAAGAAGAAGCAGAGCAGGATATTTTTCTGTTTGACCACAATTAAGAAGGACTGAGCACAAACCAGATTCAATGTTCAGCTGAGTATCCCGCAGGAGAAACAAAGGGCATCATTAAAACAGGATGCCTGGAAATGATATCATCCTATAGTCTTTCTGAAACCAGAATGAGACTTACTGAACAGATAGCATGTACAGGGAAACCACATTTTAACCACAAAGACTCACTGTAATACATAAGAGAAATTTTTTTTTTAACTTAAAGAACAGATTGGGCACTAGATTAGAACACCAACATATAAGTTGGAGCACAATGAGAACAAAATAAGCATAGTCCATGAAAACTGTAGTTTTGATTTGGCAAATAATAACTACAGTTTCCCTCATGTGTCTTTATTGACAGATTTAATTATGTCCACAGAAGAATTATATAGTGAGAATAAAACCTCTCATAAGAGCCTTAAAAGGCAACAAAACTCAAGCTTCAAGCAAAACAAAAATGTTGAAAAAGATGTGTTTTGCAAGAAAAAATAAATACTTCCCCAAACATTATTGAAAACTTACCTTCTGGGACAGGAAAAACTTCAGCTATTGAGCCTAAAATGGTTAAAGCTGAAAATCTAGTTGGGTAGGAAGAGCCAGGAAACAATGCTTCAAAAAGGCTGTTGCAAATGGATGACATGAAATTCTAAAAATAAATTACAATAAGTATAATTGAGTTAACTCACAACAGGTTATCACCAAAGTTCCACATTTAAGAATGGGGTTTTTTTCTTTTAATTAAGGAAAAAATATTTTTAGAAACAATACTAGTTTTTCACTTCCCTTAACACTGCTGATTGACACCCTTGACCATGAGCTATATCATGACTGTAATGAACTCCATCTTTGTAGAGCCAACAAGTACAAATCCGATGTTCCACACAAGGAAATAACCACACATTTTTAGTGATGCATTCAGGCATCAAAAGTATGTATACATTTTAAGTTTTAAAATGACCAAAGAAATATCCAATACATGTTACCTGAAAAATCTGATAAATGTAATACTTGATAAATTTAGTTATAATGACATAATTCATTTAAAAATCCAACTATTCTGTTGTCTTCTGTCTGTCCTTTTTTTTAGACTCCTGCTCTACCATTCTGTTTATACAAAGATAGAAAATAAAAACTTTTAGTAAAATGCAATTTTCAAACAAAAAGCAAAGTGGGAAATTCTTTATCCAGGATAAAATCTTCTCCCTCTAATTAAAATGATAATTTTTTCTGTGTAAGAGCAAGAGAAAAATTATAAGGAAAAGTTGTGGTTCTGAAGCATCTAGTATACTATGCCCTGACAACATATATTTGTAACTGAACAGATAGATATAAGCAGTTCTACTCTCAAATGACTCTAGACAGGATCCCAGAATTCATTTTTTTGGTCAAGGATATACAACTCTGGGGACTTACCCTCTAGGCCCTTACAGGCCGTAAGTAAGAGTTTATTAGTTTCAAAGGAATGGGATAGTTATTAAAAATATCCTAGTTAAACTAGTTTTAATTATAAATGAATAGCTGATTAATACTCTATCTAAAGACTAGTTTTTAAAAAATATATGTCCATAAGCACAAACTAAAAAAAAGTACATACATGAAAAATCAGAATGTCAATCCATAAAATAGGTTTTGTGTTTCTAAATACCTAATTTAGACAAATGTCATTTTACCTTTTCAAAAAGAAGCTAAAGGAGGAAACCAAGATGGCGGCATAGGTAAACACCTGAAATTGCTGCCTCGCACAACCACTTCAAAAATACAACTAAAAGACAAAACGGACATCATCCAGAACCACAGGAAGGCTGGCTGAGTGGAAATTCTACAACTAGAAGGAAAGAGGAAAGCACACTGAGACTCAGAGGAGGTGCAGAAGTAAAGTGCAGAGGTACGGAGGCGCACGTGGAAAGGACTGGTGACTGAGGACTCAGTTGTCTTTTTCAATCGGGAGGGAGACACAAGCTCCCGACTGCTCTGAACTCCAGTTCCAGGCAAGTCTCTGGGGACCCAGACTCATATACAAGGAGAAACTGGATTGTCTGGCATCGGGCGGAACTTGAGGGCGGCTTTCTTTCAGAGGTGCTTGCGGTGATTACCAGGACACTGAGACCCGGGGCCTCTTAGGATAGAACTAAGGATCCGCCATAGTTGTTTGCTCCCCCTATTGATTCCCTGAGACCCCGCCCCACCCAAGCTGTGTGCAGAGGCTTTTGCATATGAATGGCCTGGCCCGTTGCAATCTAAAATTACCTAACAAACTGCAGCTGGGTTAGAGAGACCCAGAACATCCAAAAGAAGGCCCAACGCCCCACAGCAGATTGCACTGCTTCACAGCTGGGCCACATCTGGGCACCTCCAAACCCCAAACAAAGAAGAAGAATCTGCAGATCTCTCCATAGCTCCTGCTGGGTAGCCTCAGGCAGAGGCTAAATTAGCACCTCCTTAGAGATCCAAGAACCAGTGTAACCAGTGGTCATAGTGGGACCATCCAGATTACAACTCCTCAAATCCATAAGGGACACACTCAGGGGGCAGACTCAGTGAGCACCAAAGCCCCACTGAAGCAAGTCTTGCCCCAGAAGAATGTCTCCAGCACAGAAGTTCTCCCACCATAGACACAGCTGATTCTCACAGCCAATTAGCCCGGAGGTCAATTCCTCCTAGTGATACCTACAACAATCAAGGCTGTGCACAAAGCCCACAAAGGGGTGCACCAAGAGTGTCCACCTCAAGTAATTGGGGAGGCGGAGCCACTGGGCCCTATAGGACACCTAGCACAGAAAGCCACTCTATCAACACAGGGAAGCAGCCAAAATGCGGTGAAAAAGAAACAGGTCACAAATGAGAGAAATGGAGGAAAGTAAACTACTGGATATAGAGTTCAAAACCACGGTTATAAGGTTTTTCAAGAATTTTCTAGAAACAGCCGATAAATTTAGTGAGACCCTCGAGGATATGAAAAAGGACCAACTAGAAATAAAGCATACACTGACTGAAATAAAGAATAATATACAGAGATCCAACAGCAGACTAGAGGATCGCAAGAATCAAGTCAAAGATTTGAAATATGAAGAAGCAAAAAACACCCAACCAGAAAAGCAAAACAAAAAAAGAAAAAATATGAAGATAGTGTAAGGAGCCTCTGGGACAACTTCAAGCGTACCAACATCCGAATTATAGGGGTGCCAGAAGAAGAGAGAGAGCAAGAAATTGAAAACCTATTTGAAAAAACAATGACAGAAAACTTCCCCTACCTGGTGAAAGAAATAGACTTACAAGTCCAGGAAGCGCAGAGAACCCCAAACAAAAGGAATCCAAAGAGGAACACACCAAGACACATCATAATTAAAATGCCAAGAGCAAAAGACAAAGAGAGAATCTTAAAAGCAGCAAGAGAAAGAAAGTCAGTTACCTACAAGGGAATACCCATACGACTGTCAGCTGATTTCTCAACAGAAACTATGCAGGCCAGAAGGGAGTGGCAAGAAATATTCAAAGTGATTAATACCAAGAACCTACAACCAAGATTACTTTACCCAACAAAGCTATCATTCAGAATTGAAGGTAAGAAAAAGAGCTTCGCAGATAAGAAAAAGGAGTTCATCACCACCAAACCAGTATTATATGAAATGCTGAAAGGTATCCTTTAAGAAGAGGAAGAAGAACAAGAAAAAGGTAAAGATACAAATTATGAATAACAAATACACATCTATCAACAAGTGAATCTAAAAATCAAGTGAATAAAAAATCTGATGAACAGAATAAACTGTGACTATAATAGAATCAGGGGCATAGAAAGGGAGTGGACTGACAATTCTTGGGGGGAAAGGAGTGTGGGGGGTGCGGGAAGAGACTGGACAAAAATCGTACACCTATGGATGAGGACAGTGCCGGGGGTAAGGGTAGAGGGTGGGGTGGGAACCGGGTGGAGGGGAGCTATGCGGGGGGGGGGGGGGGGGGGGGGGGGGAACAACTGTAATAATCTGAACAGTAAAGATTTAATTAAAAAAAAAAGAAACTAAAGAAATGTGTTATCTTAGATCATCTAGCAGTAATCTCAGAAAGGCTAAAAAATAACTCTTACACACACACAGCAAGTGCTCAGTACATACTCTGATCACTTTTAATGACTGCCAGCAAGGCTTTTTAGAGTGACTTAGAGTTCACAAAGAGCTTTCTCATTTAGTCATCAAAACAAACCTTTCACAGTGGTTACTAATCCCACTTACAGTTGAATAGACTCCAAGTAAACCAACTAGTTGATGGCAGAATTAGGACTAAACCTATGTGCTTTTCCAATCGTCATTGTTGGAATTTTACAAAGATGAAACTGATTTCAGCCTTTGTATAGGAATATTCTTCCTCAGATTATTTTGTACCTTTTAATACAAAATTGAAAACTAAGGCCCATCCATAATGTTTAAAGTAGGTACTCACTATGCTATAGCTCCAATGTATCAATTTACTGTTTCTGTAAATGAAATAGATGAACTCTGTCTTCTATATGGGTCTTAGAAAAAAATAAGAATCTACTTCTAAGAGGCTAGATTTGGAGTAAGAAATCAGTGGTAGAAAGTTCATTCTGTTCTGATGGACAGAAATTAAAGGTTGTCGAGCTGAGTCCTGGCCCAAACTGGGGCTGCTGTACCTGGGGTTCCATACAACCCAATAACACCGTATCCTAAAAGTCAATCCTACTCTTCAAAGCTCACTCCAAAATGGGACAGACAAAACCTCCATAGCTGGACCATGAGCCAGAAGTCGCTAACACCAAGCCACCGAAAGTCATGTTAGTATAAAGGGAGGAGACCCAGACTCAGCAGTCTTCTGCCCTGGGGAGGAGTGGAGTAGTTCAGGGCCAGCGGTTACCTTTCTGTTACAGAATTAAATCCATCTGGCCCACATAAGCTGTAAATGATTGAGGCTAACTCATTAATGTTGCTTCCTAACAGACCTGAAGCCCAGCACTGGTTCCACAATTCAGGTGACCTGAAGAGAACTACGAAAGCACCAGTAGGAATATGTAAAACCCAGCTTGAATAAAAAAGCACATAAATACTACTTACCAAGAGACTTCCACTTATTTCCCTTTAATGCATATTCATCATCGTTCTGGGTTTCTTAAGAATCCATGTGTCTAGAAATATATCACCTACCTTATACTGATGTAAAGAAACAGAAGGGTGCTGTTTGATTAACTCATTCTCTGGTTCATGTTTGGATTTATTTTGCTCCAGTTTATAAAGCATCTGAGAACTTTCCTGTATCCTACAAAACAACTTTTGAGAAAAATAAGCCACATGTTAACTTTAAATGGCAAAGGAAAAACTTCCTAAATTCTTTAAACTAAAATTTCAGGCAAGGAAGGTACTGGTTTATAAACTCTTAATATTTACACAGTGTCTCTTTTTGACAGAAAATTAGCATTTACATTGTTAAAACAAAACACAACATTACACTGCAAATCAGAATACAAGTCTTTAAAACACAGTTCTATTTCCTTTAGGTCAGCAAGAACCTAAAGACGATATATTCACTTCTATATTCTACCAATTCTTTACCCCATAAAGTATCACATGATTAATTCAAGCTGAATTATTCAATAATGACCGTTTCATGAGGTGCTTTAAAAGATTTCTTCAAATAACTTATACCCTAAAAACTCATCACTAGATTTCTTTTTGCCTTTCAAAATAAGAGCTCCAGTTTGACTTATTACACCAAAATGAAAGGACTTTTCACTCTGGACTTTAATCCCAAATGTAAACTGTTCTGTGGAAGGGTCATGAAGAGATGTGGTGCTATAAGCCCATGACCATTATTCTCACACTTGCCCAAAATCTGGACTCTTTTGAGAAATGATTTCCAGAGCAAAATCATTTCTGATGAGAAATTCTACCTTTTTAAGAAGAGAACAAATCTGTTGCCGCACTCCTGGAGACTGACTGTTAAGATTGTATGTGATAAAGAATTGAATCCACTGCATTTCTTCTATGGAAACAATTTCGGTGCTTCGATTACTTTCGCAAAGCAAGCCTAGTGTATCTATCCGTACCTAAAACACATCAAGCAATAACATGTTAATTTTTCAATGAAATAAGTGAAGCCTAAACCACTTGACACGTTTAATTTTTACATAGGCTACCAAAGGAAAAAAAACAAAAAACAGTAAACCTCAGTTTACCCATATGTACTCCAGAAAAGTTTCCTAATCCCGAAGATCCTGTGGTTATTGCCTATGAAATTATTTTATCAAATGTGTAGATTGGATATTTATTAAACAATCTGAAAGATTCTTATGCCACAGTAATGTTAAAGTTCATTCTTTTTATTCTATTTCCTCAGTGACAACTTTACCCCAGGACCCCTCCCCCACTCTCAGATTAGTCATGTACACCTAACTCCCATTCTGCACACTCATCTTTGTTTGCATTAATTTCACTTCCTTGCTGAAGGCTCTGGCTCCTAGTTACCAACTGAATGAAAACTGAAGCCTTCAGCCTAGGAGTGGAGGCTTCCATAAAATGGAAAAAATACTTCACTCCTGCCAAACAATTTCCTTAATCATCCTCCTGACCTTGGTTGTCAATCTGTGGGCTGCTCCAATGCTTCCTCTTCTAATCAAATTCATCACTTTCCTAATCAGCCACCACTGCTCTGATCTGTCTCTTCTCCTGAGTTTCCCAAGTCCTTACCCATAAAGGCACTCTTGTACCTGTATTTTTTCCTAAGAGTCTCTAGTTGTTTTCTGCAGCTTTTCTTATTCCTTCAACTAAACTCTAAGAAGCCTGAGTACAAGGTCTTCACTTTTCATTCTCTATTCATCATCCTATGAACCCCTTAAAGCAATGATGGGCATAACTTAAGGGACTCTGTATTGGGGTGACAAATGAATAAAAAACCAAGGATCTACTATATGAGTGAATTGCTAGTTATTCTGTTTACTTACTTGGCAGTGCTGATGAATTAAGCCCTGCTTTATTTTTGCACTGGACACAAGACTCCTCCAGGCATCCGTTGCAGACTGAAGATGTCCATGAGCTCTAGCTGTTCGCAGACATGCCATCAAAGCTCCCAGAGCCCCTCTACTATTATATGACCCTAAAGATGGAAAAGATTGCTCTTGTTTCAAAAGCAGTAACAAAGACCAGTACTGTGCTATGTAAATACTACCACAATTTTCATGTTTATAACTAACATTATATTTCAAAAATCATATTTAAACTCAATCTAGCATGAGTTAAAGTTCCTATTATAAAATAATCATTACTTAAAAGATTTAATACTTCTTGTGTCAATTTCAAATAACATAATCCCCCTTATTGTTAACTTGAAAAAATCATAATTTCTGGCTAATATTTCTTTTACCTTGACAGTTAGAAAACAAATCAGGAAGTGAATCAGGAAAAAAAATCAGGTGGAGAAATATTTAAAACAGTAAAAATAACTGAATGACTTCCAACCAAAAACAGGAGAAACATTTCTGTGTTTTATTTCTCTAAAGATAAACACTGAAACTCTCTGCATATTTTGGAGTTACTGATTCCCCCTCTAATAAAGAGGCTAAAAGGAGGATCACAAAGAACATGATGCTTCCAGAGACTAGGACATCAGCCATTACTAAGTGGACAGGGAGCTCTGGCCCACAGGACACCTTGAGATAAAAGTCAATCCTACCTTACTTCAGAACATACTCATTCTGGACTTCAGATGGCTTCTCAAGGCAAGAAAAATTATTAAAAATTAAAACAATGACTTATTTTTATGTATAGGAATCAGACTTTTCAACTATCTCATAGTTACTCTTTGAAGTATTGAAAGTTTTTAATTATCTTATTTGCAAATATTCTTAAAATGTGATGTAGGGTGCCATATTCCTGCTTCACTAAACAGAATAATATTAAGATTTGCATAATGAGTCAGGATCATAATTTTAGGCATTAATTACTGAATTGTGCTATAATGCAGTGACTCCTTCAGTTACAGAGTTTCCATGGGATGCTTACCCCATTCTAAATTATTACAGACAGCTGTTTCCTGAGGTGATGCCTCTCAATGTTTTGTCTTTTTCCCACAGGCAAAAACTTGCCACAGCCATTTTACCTGTTTAACCTTGCCAAAACAGTTTTCAATTACTGTTTTTATCACTTCAATGTTTATATAAAACACACAAACTTTTATTCCATTCTGACAACCAAATAACAAATAAGAACTTGACAAAAGAATTTTAAAAACCTAGTACAGTAGTCCCCCCTTATCCACAGTTTCACTTTCCACAGTTTCAGTTACCTACGGTCAACCATGATCCAAAAACATTAAATAAAAATTTCCAGAAATAAACAAGTCACAAGTTTTGAATTGCACACCGTTCTGAGTAGGTGATGAAATATAGCACAGTCCCGCTCTGTTCAGCCCAGGCCGTGACTCTTCCCTTTGCCCAGTGTATCCACACTGTATACCGTATCTGCCCATTAGTCACTTAGTGGCCAATTCAGTTGGGACTGTTGCTATATCACAGTGCTTGTGTCAAATAAGTAACCTTTATTTAACTAATAATGGTCCTGAAGCAAAGAATAGTGATGCTGACAATTCAGGCATGCCAAAGAAAAGTCGTAAAGTGCTTTCTTTAAGTGAAAAAAATAAAAGTTCTTGACTTAATAAGGGGAAAAAAATCGTATGCTGTGGTTGCTAAGATTTATAGTAAAAATGACTCCATGAAACTGTCTAATTTATAAAGTAAACTTTATCATAAGTATATGCATAGGGAAAAACATAGTATACATGGGTTTCGGTACTATCCATAGCTTCAGGCATCCACTGAGTGTCTTTAAATGTATCCCCTGCAGATAAGGAGGGACTACTATAATAAAATAAACCTCATAATCATAATTGAAATCTATCCTTAGCCTGTAGAAATGACTTCAATCAAAAAACCCTATTCCGCTATGTGTAGTAACATTTGGTTTTAATCTGAAATCCTTAATGTTAATATCCTTCTTTACTATTTAAATTTGAATATAGTCAACATCTGCCTGGGTAACTACATTTAAGAATCCTAATTAGAAATTACTAAAACAAAAATGCATTTTCTTACCAGTTTTAGCATCAGCAGAAGTCTGAAGAATCTTTACCATGTAGCTTAAGCTTTCAGGGTTGCAATTCAATAATTTTGGCAAGTAATAATCAATCACATAAGATTTTTGATCCAGATTTCCTTCACACAGTATGTGAAGGAGAGGAGAAACCCAAGTCTCATGCCACTGATCAATCCAAGTACTGTCGACAGCCTGAGATTTCAAATGACTCTTATGATTTTTAAACATGGCTTCTAAGAGGTCACTTGCATAAGGTACCAATGACTGGTCTCCCATCACCTCTAAGATTTGCGATGGAATAGTTTTAGCTAATGCCAAAATATGTTCAGTTCCTATGCAATCTACTAAACAACCAAGGCATATGTATTTCCCTTTAATATGCCATTCCAATCGCAGGAGACTCTGGGTCAGTTCAAAAATGAAAGGATCAGCAGCCAAATCTGATTTTTCTAGCTTTGACTCTGCAACAGTGAGCTGGTGCATTTGGAGAATGTTTCTGAATATGATTTTGGTTTGGTGTCTCAAAGCATCCAATGGGTGTTCCCAGTGGGTATAGACATATTCCAAAAGTCTTCTAGCTATGCTTGCATTCCCATTCAGACTGTCCTTTAGGCTTGGGGAGCTTGATTCAAGAACATGTATGGCAGAGTTAGTCCAAGATGCCAAAATTCTAGACAGAAACATTTCTAGAGTTGATTCCTTGATCCTAAAGAAAAATGAGCTGTATTATTATAAAGTGACCAGTAAAAGAAATTTCATGTTATAATCATTTAAACTTTAAAGATATAAAATACAAAGAATGATCAGAAAATTCAATCATTAAATTTACAACAATAATTATAAACAAGGCCAAAAAAGACCTCAAATTTGTATCTAAATCTATTCATCTTGTAAAATATAATCTAAAAAAAAAAAGATACAAGGAAACTTTTAGGGGTGATGTAAATGTTAATTCTTTTGATTGTGATGATTGTTTCACAGGTATTTTAAAACATACTGAGGAGCTAGGGTTGGGAAAAGTTAATTGAAATGGGGTTTCTGAAAATATTCTAAAGTTGATTATACTGATAGTTGCACCATCTTGTGAATATACAAGAAAACCCTACACAAACCCTACAAATTATATCTCAATTAATCTGTTACAAAATGAAGAATAAATTTTAAAATATGCACAAAATTTAAAAATATGTACAATTTAAAAATACATATAAACTGAAAAACATGTAGTTTATTTTAGAACATTGTAGTTTTCTCCCTTTATCTACATATTCATTATTATCAAGCTGTATCTATGGTTTGACATGTGAAGCACATGAACACTTTCAGGCATTATGGCCTATAAAACATTTTAAAAAAAGAATAAATAAAATATAATATAAAGAAGTCAAAAGACAGGGGAACAGTTCTGGCTCAGGTGCTTCTTGGAAACATGCTTTTAGCCTAAAGCATTTACTTTTCTAAAGCATTCACTTTACCCATTCAAGAAATGAGGTTTCCTATCCTAGCTATCAGACATGTAAAGATCACACTGAATTAATTACCTATGATAAAATTGTTTATAAACTATAATGCACTATACATATAGAAACCTCCTCCCATCATCCATTTTTTCTTGTTCTACTTTCACACCCACTTCATTCCCTTTTGATTTAGGATTATGCCAACCACTTTTCATTGAATTATACTAAGTATGCTGGCTCAGTTGCCATCTTTCAAATGTCTGACAAGCAAAATAAAATATGAGACAGCAGCATCAAAACTCACTGTGAACTCAAGGTGAACAGAACATGCACAGTATCCAAGAGCAGGGCCTCCCCACGTGGGCCCATCCTCCCATTCTGCCAGTCCAACATGGTGAGTGTCCCCTGACACAGGAACAGGAGAGCTGACTCGGAGACATCAGCACCACAGAGGCTCCTGCAGGAGTGCACAAACCACTCCGGGGCGCTCGTGCAGTCCACAGAACAGAGAAGCAAACTACTAATCTGAAAAATATAACAGAGCTAATACATGTAAAGCCTCTAAAACTTTTCAGAGATATTTCAAAATAGAAATCCAAAATTCTCTTTCCCCCTAAACATCCTAAGAAATGAACCTAATGGTGAAAAAGCCATAAGTGTTAAGATTATTATAACAATAGAAAACAAAATCTAAGTGCATGAACCATTTTGCTGGTTTGAATGTACTGGTAGAGCACAACACATCGCCACCTGTAAGTGGATGAGCTTAACTAATGCTTTTAAGAGGTGATTTAGAAAGAAAATTTTTAATTTTATCCAATAATTACTGTGTGATCTCAGAGCATGGCACACATCTATTTTGCATAAAGTCAGGCAAAGAGCTAAAATAAGTTTCTAGACAATAAAGAAAAAAACTGCTAGTAGTAAATATAAGGATTGTGGCACAAATTATCAAATTATACTCTCCATATGATCAATTTCACTGAACAACTGATTCTAGCATGCTTCCTGTCTAAAATACAATATTTGGGTTATTCTTAATAAAAATTCATACTTATAAAAAAACTTATTACTGTATATGTGTACATTAATCTCTAAATATTTTATAATGCTGAGAGAACTGAACAACCAGCTCTAGAAAAAAACTAGGATACATATAAAAATGTTGATAGTGATTATCTTTGTGAGATGGATTTATAGGTAACTGTTGTGTTATTTCTGCTTTATCTGAATTTTTGCAACTACCTCTTATATATGAGAAAAAGGTCATCAGAAAGATTGTGCAAAAAAATTTGAATTCATTTCTTTAAAAATATTTTTTAAACATGCGTCAAACTATCAATAAAATTCAATTCTAAAAAGGAGATCCACTCACCAAATCAGGAATCTTTTCAGGTGGATGAAACATAGCCTTAATAAAAAGAATAACAGCTAATCCAGATGTACTGTGAATTGTCTGCAAGAGGTCATCTATTTGGCAAAAAAGTAAATAGCATGTATTAAATAATGATGGATATTTGGTACAGTAGAAAGAGCAGATGCTGCAGAGTAAGAGTCCTGGGTGCAATTTCCAGCTTGACTACTTTCTAGGTGAATAGGCCTTACAACTCAGCTCCCAAGAACTCTGCTTTCTCTTCTGTAAAATGGGAAAATATAACTCCTATCTGACACAGTTGTTATAATATTTAAATGAATAATGAACATAAAGGCTTTATGCTCAACATATACTCAATAAATGTGATTCCTTCCTCTCCCCTCTAACATCCAATCTTTCTTCCTCTCCATCTACAGTCTCCCAACACATCTAGCAGCAACATCGCCTGTCCCCTCCCATCCACCAATGCTTCTGCATCCCAAGCCCCATTACATTATTTTTCATAGTGATTTCAGGGCTTGTATAAAGAGCCTGCATCAGTGCTAATTACAAACTTTGCTATCGTTGGCATGCACCCAGACAATCTTGACTTGCTACCTTCATTTTGTTTTCTATTAGCCTCTGGTTTGTCAGAAAGTATACGAAATAATATGGTGAATTATTTAACCTGTTGAAAGATTATAAATATCCACTATAAGTTGCCTACTAATTATCCATTATGTCATTTATCCATGTTAACAGAACTATGACTTTGATTGAGGCATCCATGTGCCCAGCCAAAGGCAAGATAATTGCTTCCTCAATCTTCCTTGCAATTAAAGGTAGCCATATGAGGGTTCAGGCCAATGGGAGGTAAGCACAAATCTCTTGGGTACTTTTCGTTTCCTCATTAAAAGTAAAGATGCAACTGGCTCTCCTTCCTAACTTAAACAGAGACATGCTGTCTGGAGCTACAGCAGCCATATGGCAACCACGAGGCAGCAAACATGCGGGGGAAAGCCAACCTGCTTATGAGCCAAAAAGCAGAAATGTGTGGGTTCTAGACTGTCTACAGTAGTTCTGGATCACCTGCTCCTGAACTTCTTATGTGAGAAGGAGGGAAGGCACATATGCTTAAGTCCCTGAAGTTCAGTTTTCTGCTTATAGCTAAACACTTTACTGATACAGGAAGCTTTATAACCCTTGGGAAAATAGCATTGATTAGATGCCATCAACTTTTCAGAAAAGAGGCTGCCTGATATTAAAATCATGTCTTCTCTGCATTTCACCAAGTAGTCATTTTTTTCAGGTTTAACAAATTTCTCTTTTAAAAGCAAATATCCTCAGGAAAGATGCCTGTGAATTATGTCTTAACAAGAATAACTTTCCTTCTATATCCTTTCATAATAATGATGTCTTTAGTTTTTAAAAAGTTTTATTACTCAAACATGCAGCTCTAAACACTATAATTTAGTCTTGTCCAATCTTCAAAACTTTGATATGTGTCTAAGTGTCTTTCAATCAACATGTGCCCTCTCCACCCCTTCCTTTTTATTACAATTTCTCTGAAGAACTCTGGCCTCCAGACCTGTTGAGTTTCCCACAATCTGGATATTGCATTTGTTTACTCCTGGTGAAGTTCAACATGTTCCTTTGTAATTCCTGAAAATTGGCAGGTGACGTAGAAACAGGGCCAGTCTCAAGTCCAATCCTTTTGCTGGTAAAAGCAAGACTCTAAGGGGCACATTGTGTCTGGTGATAGTCTAACTCTGTCATTTAATTTATTAGTTGAAATACTCTAATAAGAAGACATGTCTTCTCACTACTTGATTCCCCAGTGGTACAGTTCACATGAACAGAAGCAACATATGAGTTTAAAGAGGCATAATGACCAGCCTCACAATGACCACTGTCACTAGCTGAGATAATACCTGCTGCTAAGGAGAAATGTGTGGATCACACCAATTTTTCCATACCTTCCTTCCAAATTTGGAAATTTCTTCTCCAGAATTTTCTTTTGCTGCTTAAAGACTGTAGCCTTTCAACACTAAGAATGTTAGGTTTTCTTCTTTATATACAATACATGCACACACTTAGAAAAATCCTTCAACCTTATCCCTTGCTGATTGGCACATTTGAAAGAAAAAGCATTAAAACCTTGTAATCCCAGGCCTTTCCCCACTTTGAGGGGCTGAGGAAGGAGAAGTTCTACATCTCTGTTAAGTATCATATATTTCATACCATTATTAGCAAAAATTGAGTGACAATTACAATCATCAGTTTTTTTACACTTACCATCATTTAAAAACTTGGTAAAAATACTCAGCAGTTCACACATACTCTGCCATGTGGGAGAACTGGAAACGTTTGAATTAATTCTCTGGAGGCCTTGAACTTTCTGTACTAACATTACTGAAACTCTAATGCCTACCAATAAGTCATTCATCAACTGCGTTTGAACAATATGATTTCCAGCAAATTTTCTACAATGAAGAAAAGACATCATTACAAAAGAAAAGTCAAATAAAAATGTCACCATTTCTATCACTCTTCAAAATAGCACATTCCTCAATCAAAGAGCCAAATTCCATTTTAGATTATAGCAGACATTTATGCCTTTCTCTTCTACTCTCATGTACATTCCAATTATGTAGACATTTATTGAAAATTTTCAACACTCTTAACTTGCTGCAACATTTGCCTCTTTCCAGCCAATGACTAGCCGCCTCACTTCTCTTTTTTAGTGTAAGAATAACAAATTAAAAATGAACAACAAATTATAAACATCAACACTGCCTCAGCCTTGATACACTTTCTTAACCTGACTTTCTCCTGCTTCACCATCACTTCTTAGACACCTTGGCTAGTTCATGCTGTTCTCCATGACCTCTTTATGTTAGAGCTCTCCATGACTCAGACCCTAGTCCTCTTTTTTGTCCATCTAATTCATTCCCCTGATGCTCTCATCTAGCTAATTCATTAGCTTTAGATTATAATCTATATGCTGTCAATTCCCAAATTGTTATCTCCAGCCCAGACCTCTCCTTATAATTCCAGACTTGTATCTGAAGCTTCCTACTCACTATCTTCATGTGGATGTCTAACAGATACCTCAAACTGCATGAACCTATCTTTAACTCCAAGCCTGTTCCACCTGCTGGGATCTCTTAAACTACAAAAACTTTGTAATCAGCCTTGACTTCTCTCTTCATTCCACCCTGTTGGCTCTACCTTCCTTCAAAATATGCCCAGAATCAGACCACCTCCACTGCTACTCCTAGCCTAGCCACTCTCATCTCTCCCTTGGGTTACTACAATAGCCTCCTAATTGGTCTCCCAGCTTCTATCTTTGCTCCTCTAAGCCAGTTCTCAACAGAGCAGAACACAGAGTGATAATATGAAAACAGAAGTCAGGGAAAACAGTTGGGGGTTTCTCAAAAAGTTAAATATAGAATTACCGTATCACCCAGCATTCTACTCCTGGGTATATGCCCAAAACAATTGAAAATAGGGATTCAAGCAGACCCTGGTCTACCAATGTTTATAACAGCGTTATTCACATTAGCCAAAAGATAGAAATAACCCAAATGTCCATCAACAGATAAACAGATAAACAAAACTGTGATATATACTAGTATATGTATATATGAATATTATTCAGCCAAAAAAAGGAATGAAATTGTAATACATGTTATAACATAGACTAATCTTTAAAATATAATTGAAATAAGCCAGACACAAGAAGACAAATATTGTATTCCATTTATTAGGGTATCTAGAACATGCAAATTCAAACAGACAGAAAGTAGAATGAATACAGGCTACTATAGGTTATGGGAAGGAATAAAAAGACTGTGAATTCTCTTTTGGACACATTGAACTTGAGACACATGCAAAATATTCAAGTTAAGATACATAACTGGCTATATAAATCTAATGCTCAGGGAAGAGAGCTAAGTTGGAATGATAAATCTGGAAATCATAAGTACAGAGATAATGGCTGATATCAAAGAAGCGGATGATATTAAATAGTCTAACAAAGAGAATTAAAAGGACAGAACCCACATTTAAGAGATAAACTGAGAAAGAAGAGCCTAAAAGGTGACAGAGAAGGAGCTCCTTCTTTGTAAGGCAAAAGGAGACCTTGGGTTAAGGATAGCCCACAGATATTACTCCTACTCTCCCCAGAACCTCCCTGAACCAACACCCAAGGTATTTGAAACATAAAGAGACATAAATACACAAGAACAACAAATAGACAATGAGACAATAATACAATTGTAAAAGCTACAAAGCAGATGGATAAGTCATAGCTAATTTAGCAAAATCAAGAAAAGTGACTACTAAGCCAGAGAACAAATCCAGAAGCTACCTAATTTGCAGGCCCAAAAGCCTAAGAAATTGTGGGCACCAGGTACTTCTTGATGTGGAGGTAAATGTAAGGCTGAAAACAGGAAGACTGACAACAAGTTTGGTGAAATAAAATAAAAACAATGGATCATACCTCCAAGCCAGCAAACAACTGGTCTACCTCTAGGGACTGTAAAACATCAAGTGTCCGGACAGGAAGACAGCACACACAGAAAAAGTAGCAATACCATATTACAAACAGAAATTAGGTAAATATATGCAAAATAAATGCCAAATGCCAGGACTTCATGGTTCAGACCCAAAAATCAGAATATTAAGCCAATGGTTTTGAAGACTCTTCCATGGTTAGTCTACTACCCATGCAAAAAGACTGACATTAGGGGTTCCCCAAAGAAAGAGCCCAACTGGTTAACCCACAATAAAACCTGTAATCAACCACACCCATGTGCACAGAAATTCAAATCAACTCTCAGTGCCCCATTCTTAAACATGAGCACTCAGCCTAGGATCACCGGACTTCTGAGGAAAGCTTCTAGCAATAAATATAGCAACCAAAGCAGCAAACAGAAAAAAAGCAACTTGGAAGAAATAGAAGCTATGTAAAGATAAAATACTTTAAAAAGCTGATATTAATTTCATTAATATCTTCAGAAAGATTACAGAGAGTATTTCATCCACAAACTAAGAACAGGATGCTATGAAAAAGAAACTTTCAGGTAGAGGAAAGAGTTCTTCCCTTTCTGCTCTGGCTGGTTTTTCTCAGTGGTTAGAGCATCGGCCTATAGACCAAACGGTCACATGTTCAATTCCCTGTCAAAAGCACGTAGCTGGGTTGCAGGTTCTATCCCCAGCCCTGATTGGGATCAGTGTGGGAAGCAACCAATCAATGTGTCTCTCTCACATTGATGTTTCTCTCTCTCTCTTCCTCCCTTCCATTCTCCCTGAAAATCAATGGGAAAAATACCCTCAGACGAGGATCAACAACAAAATAAATAAATAAATAAATAAATAAATAAATAAATAAATAAATAAATTCTTCCCTTTCTCATTTAGTCTCATAGTAACTTATATTTTTAAAAATTAAATGTCAAACCTCTAAAAAATAAATTTAAATAATCTGGTCTAACATTTATGGAGAGGGATAGAAAGGAGCACATTATAGAACTTTTAAAAATTTTCCTTTGTACAAAGACAATGTACAACTGCAAGTATGCACAAGCATGCAGACATGTAACACTTGCCTATTTTCTTCTGTGATTTCAATTAAACTCTTCTGTAGAAAATGAAGCACTGAAAGGAAAAGAATATACTGATAAAACAGAATTTAAAAACTTTGAACTTTAATTTCAGAACAAGAAAATATTTTAAATCGCTGTTACCTAAAATGATATCATAGTATAGAAGTAGAAATTTAAAAGGAACATGATATACCTTAGTTATCTGCAGTACTCTATTTACTGCCAAGAAACTTATAAGAACCTGTTCCAAAATGACTCATACAAGCAGTCACCTCTCAGAATAAAATAAAATAGGACTTACCATTTTCAAGAAGATTATTAATGCTTGTTATACCTGTGAGAGAGAAAATTAACACTGGTAAGAAGTTTCAGCATCAAAATTAACATCACTTAAAAACAATGATGTAGTGACCGGTGTTAACCAGGAAAATTACTAGAAAAGAGCTGGCTTACCCAACTTAAAGTTCTCCATACAGGAAGATATATTGTCAATTACTTTCCTATAAGAGTATAGATCAGTAGTATTCAATTCTCCCTGAAGACGAGAAGTAAAACTTTGTATGGCCTCAGTAAGAAAAAATTCAGGCAGGCAATTTAGTGAGCTAGAAAAAGAAGCAAATATTGAAAATCGTGACAACTCAGTAGTATAAGGGTATGTGAAGAAGGAGAGGAATCATTACACATGAAGGAATTATTGAACCAGCCCTTTTCAATACTGCCAGAAAATGACAGAGTATCCTCAACAGAGTAACCAGAGTGCTATTACCAAAACATCATATTATTCCTCTACCTGAAATCATCCAATAATGTCCCACCCGAAGTAATGAACAAAGTGCTTACAATGACTTGTAAGACACTGCCGATCTGGTCCCACCGTTACTTCTCATTTGATCCTTGTTCACTATCTCTAGCTACATGGTCTTCCTTTGTTCCAACAACATGCCAAAGCCTTTGCTCTTGCTACTTCCTCCACCTGGAACAGTTTCCTTCAAATATAACCAATAATCATTCCCTCATCTGTTTTGGGTCAATTTCAAATATCACCCTATCAATAACTGAGCAAAGATATCTAAAGTGACCACTATGTTTTAACTCTAACCCTCATCCCATCCTTGCGTCTTCCTTTCCCTCTTCTCTGCTTTATTTTTCTCTACAGCACTCATACCACCTAATTCTATATATTTTGCTTCTTTATTTTGTGTATTTTCTATTCCTCTTAGAATGTAACCTTCATTCTAGACTTATTCACTATATCCCCAAAGCCTAGCAGAATACTTTGACACATAGTAGGTGATCAGTAAAAATTTACTGAATGAATAAATTAAATTAAATTTTACATCAATTAATCTAAATCAAAACCAGTACGCATTTTTTTCAAATCTGGCTAAACCGTCCTGAAGTTTTTCTAGAAGAAAAAAAATCAAAAATGGAAATATTCTGAAAAAGAAGAGCCACTAGAGCAGTGGTTCTCAACCTTCTGGCCCTTTAAATACAGTTCCTCATGTTGTGACCCAACCATAAAATTATTTTCGTTGCTACTTCATAACTGTAATGTTGCTACTGTTATGAATCGTAATGTAAATATCTGATATGCAGGATGATCTTAGGCGACCCCTATGAAAGGGTCGTTCGACCGCCAAAGGGGTCACGACCCATAGGTTGAGAACCGCTGCTAAAGCAAGCATGTCAAACTCAAAAAGGCTAACACAGGCCAAATAAACGAGGCATGCAGCCCGCGGGCCGCAAGTTTGACATGCTTGCTCTAGAGAGATGACTTACTCTAACATATAAACTACATTATCAAACTATAGTAAATAAAAGTGTGGTTTTGGTGTATAAACAAACAGTCCCAAGTCTAAAACCAAACCAGGGAAAGAACTTTTAATATTGGTTATTTTTTATCAAATTGAACGTTTATATGGCCCAATTCCCTTCCTTTTCTCCTTACCTTGCCAAGACTTTCTTCAAGGGATTCTTTAGACTCAAAGAAAGATAAATGCCTGCTAAAATATCCAGGCAACTTCTAATAGTGGGATCACACATGCCGTTTTTATCTGCCTTCTCCAGTAAAGGCACAATCTATAATCCAAAAAATTCAAAGTCATAGCAATTTTTTAAAATATCAAGCATAACAAAGTAACATGGATTCAACTACTCTTTTAATTCTCAATTATCATGTGAAATATTTTCTACTCCGCATTGTTAAGGATACTGATTTAAACACCTATTTCAGTATTTATTAACTTTATTAACATGCCCTCCAACTCCCACTTTACCCTCCAGACCCACCTCCATTGAGAATTACAGACCTGTCAATGGCTTAAGGTACAGGGATTCTGTAGCACAACTGAAAACCAATAATGCATTTAATTGCTTTCCAAAAAAATATTATGCAAGTTCAAATGATAAATCCTAATATTGAAATACTAGTAAGGACAGTCTTTACATTTTAAATTAACTTTTTAATGTGCCTGCTAAACAAGTTTTGAAGATTCTGATTAACAGAAATCATTTTTTAAAAATTTATCGCCACAAAAGGTATGTATAGTTATCACATTATCCTATCTACTTACAGCTCCAATGGTGACAGAAGCCTGAATATGGCTTCTGTTGCTACTCTGAATAAAAATACATACAATAAACAGAAAGAAAAACCTTTTCGCTAATGCTATATTAATATTAAATAATCAGGACTCAAAACTTATCAACTAAATTTAAAAGTCCATAACAGCATGATAATCTTCAAGATATATCCAAGAATATCAATTCGGCCTTACCTGTTTAACATAACGAATTTGTGACACTCCATCGCTGAGTTGTACACAATGTAATAGCAAAGAAGCCAGATTTTCTCTTTCCACATCAGCCAAAGCTATATAACATACACACAAAAATTTCTTCAGTGACTTAACAGTATATGGATATGAGTTTGCCTTTGTTACGCATTCTATAAAATTTAAGTATTTATAAACCCAAAACACCAGGCAGAACTTAGCCTGAAACAGTATTTTAAGAAAACCATTTTACATCCAAAACTGAATATAAAGAACATGGAAAAAAAAAATAGCAAGTGTGCACATTAGGTGATATGAAGTCCCAGACATAAAATACTCTATTTGCAACCTAGAAAAGAAATAGTCAGAAATCACTTACTTCTCAAAGTTTCAAGGTCCTGATGACAAATGGTCAATGCAGTAACTTGTATTTCTTTCCTCTTCTTTACCACCATTTTAAAAGAAAGCAGCCACTGCACGAAAGAAGAGTTTAAGGTGTTGTCCTAATGCAGTTCCTGAACCTTAGCACTATGAACATGTTAGGTCAGATAACTTTTTGCTGTGGAGTTGTTGTCCTGTGCACTGTAGGATGATTAACACATCCCTGGCCTGTACCGAGTAGATGTTAGTAGCATCTCCCTCACACCAAGTTGTGACAACCAAAAAATATCTCCAGTTATTGCCTCATAATTCCCTGGGGAGCAAAGTTGCTATCGGTTGAGAACCACTGGTCTAAGGATTTCTGCTTTGAAAAAGAAAAACTTTAAGCTCAAGAAGAGTTTATTACTGTCTATAGTTAATTTTACCTAATATAAGCCAGTCTTTGTATTTTAAAATACAGCAAGCCTTCACTTTAATAATAACAAAAGAAACCAGCATGGTTTTCCAAAAATAAAGTCTGTCTAACTAACCTCAGTAACTTCTTATACTGACAGATCAGGAGATATCATAATATACTATATCCTGATTTGTGCAAAGTATTTAATAAAAAAAAATGTGCATACTGCCCTTGTGAGTTTGCTTTTAGTTAACAAACAGAGTTTATTTTAGTTACTTGGGTTCATCATGTACTGAACAAATGTACTTGAAAAATACACACTAATCATACCATGCCATCTGGAGAGAAGTCACTAGGGAAATGCTACACAGGGCTCTTTTCTTGGTGCAGTTAACATTTTTAGCAATCTATATGATGCAGACATTAGAGGACATAACATAGTGAATTTGTAAAAGAATGTAATGTTAATTTATAAAAGATACAAAGCTGGGAGGACATGTTGGATGATGGGATCAGGATTAAAAAACAGCCCAATGAACTAGAATAAATTTACCAAGATGAACTAGAAATAAATGTAAAATGCTGCATTCAGATTAGAAAAACATAATATATAAATGCAGAATGAGGGTGCAGGAGGAGGTGAAATGTGATTTGAAACAGTTCGGTATGTTGTTTGAGACAGCTCATTGTGAACCAACAGCACAATATGACTGCTAAAAAGCATGTTAGAAGTCAGGTGGATTAAGGGAGTGCATGATCCCTTGGTCATCCCACAAGTCAGGTGACATGTAGAGCATTAGGTGCAGTGATGGTGGCCACATCTTAAAGATCCATAACGGCCCTGACCGGTTTGGCTCGGTGGATGGGGCGTCGGCCTGCGGACTGAAAGGTCCCAGGTTCGATTCCGGTCAAGGGCATGTACCTTGGTTGCGGGCACATCCCCAGTGGGGGGTGTGCAGGAGGCAGCTGATCCATGTTTCTCTCTCGTCAATGTTTCTACCTCTCTATCCCTCTCCCTTCCTCTCTGTAAAAAATCAATGAAATATATTTAAAAAAAAAAAAAGATCCATAATGAATAATGGAGCTTCCAAAGACCAACCAGGCTTCTGAAGGGCCTAGAAAGCACTGCCTTCGGAGAAGAGCTTAGTTAATCAAAGGTGGTCTGGGGAAAAGAGGACAGGACAAGTGTCTTAAATGGCGGCAGGACTGGTTAGGAGAAAAGGAGTGTAGATGTCGTTTGTTACAGATTAGAAAAAGGACAAGCTTCAGGGAGGCAAATTTCAGCTCAATTTAGAGGAAGACCTCCATGTTCCAAGTGTAGAATGGGCTGCCTTTTAAACAAAGAATTCCCAACATTGGGAATATCCCTTTTCATTTGGACTCCTGTTATAGCCTCCTAACTGGTCTCCTCACTTCTACCCTGGCTTCTGAAAATTCCATTCTCTTCACAGTCATCCAAGCAATCTTTTTTAAAAACTTGAATCAAATCTAATTACTCTCTCCATCTTTCCAAAGGCTGCCAATTAACACGTAGAATAAAATCCAAACTTGAAACTTTGGCCTTCAAGGACCTAAATATCTGGTCCTGACTTTCCCTACGTTTCAAGTTAATCTTCTCTTCACCATCTCAGGGGCTCAGCTCGTCCCGCTGCTCTTATTCCTACCTAAAGGCCTTTGCATGTCCTGATACCGTTGCCTGTTAACGCTCATTCCACCAGATCCTTGCAAGGCTACTCCTTCAGGTCTCTTCTAGAATAACCCCTCCCAAGAGAACTCTTCTGTGGCCATTCTATCTAAAATGCCACCATTCCTAGCCCTGGTTGGGTAGCTGAGTTTAGAACATTGTCCGGTACTCCAAGGTTGTGGGTTCGATCTCTTGTCAGGGCACACACAAGAGGCAACCAATGAATGCACACATAAGTGGAACAACAAATTAATGTGTGTCTCTCTCCCTCTCTCTCTCTAAATATTAATTTTTAAAAAGTGTTTAAGAATAAGTAAAATGCCACCATTTCTACTCACCCACAATTTCCATTACTTTTTCTTCATAGCATTTACTACTGCCCGAAATTACACTGACTGGTTTATTTGTATATTGTCTGTGCTCCCTAGGCGTAAACTCCATGAAAGCAGCAACTTGTATCTGGTTTGTCCACTGTTTTAATTCTCAATTCCTAAAACAGTACCTGGTGCCTATTAGGGTGCTTGATAAATATTAGGTAAAAACATGTGAATTAATTAACAAACATGTACCAGAGATGTTCTAGAAGTGATGCACGCTTTTAACGGCAGAAAGGTGAACTATCTAGTATCTAAAGTATATTCTATATGTAAGTGACAAGCTAGTCTTGACACTAATGAACTATGGTCCATTTGCAAAAGAAGATCTCAATATAGCAATGGCATGTGAAAAGCCACTTAACATAAAAGAGTAATAAAAATGGAGATCATTGATCAAAGTTTAGAAGGGACAGAGACAGATAACTGGGGAGGCTATTCTCTGGTAAATGGGGAGCAAGTTTGCAGCAGGATTTGATCTTGGGAACTTCGAGACTATACAGAAAAAACGCGCCGAGCTTATGCGCGCTCAATGGGTGCCTACACGTTTGTCCCGATGAACGCGGCCTCCCGCGTAGGGAAACCCCACGCCCACCGAAAGGCACTGCTTAAGTGGCCAGAAGATGCTCAGCAATCAAACTCCTCCTGGGTTCCCGTGGCAGCTTCCCTTTCAACCCTACATCTTCCTGGCTGACTCCCACAAACATTCTCTAGGCAATTTTCCAACCGTGTGGAGTCCGTGGAATGACGGGGGGGTGGGGGGGAGTATTGGTTAAAATGCTGTCTCCCAGGAAACCTAAGCGACCAGCAATCAGTTTCCCCCGACACTATATCTCGCGATGCTAAAGAACGGGACTTGGTGTCAGTCACCTGGTGGCCCCTAACCCAGCGATGGAGAGTCACGCGCCACCGCGGGCCTGGCAGACAGGACGCCTGAGATCCAAACCTCGTGCCCGTGGGCGTCAGAGAAGAGTCGCCGCCGCCGAGGTGAATCCCGGAAGCTCGTACAGTTCTACGGTGTCTCGGCAGCTCTCAACGTGGTCTGTCGACTACCGGGTCGCGGCGACGGGAGGGAAACAGGAGGACCTGTCGGAGGAGTCATCGCGAGAATTGCGCTCATGGAACCCTCCAATCAGGAGTCCGGAAAGGTCGTGATGTCACCGGGGAGCGGAAGTCAGAGTGGGGATTTGGTTAGACTCGGACTTTGAGGAGTGCGCGGTAGCTGCCCTCCGGCGCTGGGACTAGCCTGGCAGGTTGGAATCTGCCCACCTCAGTCCCCGGAGGGCAGCTTAGACTGTGGTCCCCCCCACATCCCAATGGTGGGAAACACCTTTTCCTTAACGCAGTCGACCTTGTCCCACTCGGCTTGTTCAGCGCAGAGAGGAGGAGAAAACTGCCTCCGCCACTCGGGAACAAGGAGCCTAGCAATGTAAAAGCCTGCAAGAGTGGGTAGGGGGTGGGGCGGGCTTTGAACTGCAGCCACAATAGGAATCTTGAATTTTGACGAAAATGAGAAATATTGAATGAGCTAACGTACGCCAACGATTCATTCAGCAAATAGATAAGTGCTATTGTCGGAGCGTTGCCAGACGCTAGCCTTGAAAGTTACCCACTATTTGGAATGTATCGTTTACACGGACTTTTAAAAATAAATACAAAAATTAGGTGCCGAGCACCACCCTAAGAGCTGGGATGGGGGAAAGATCTGGCATAGACGCTGATGCTTTGTTCAAATGCCATTAATTTGCAAAACAACTGAGAAACATTACAGTTCCCCAAACCTTTAGTCACATTGATGATCTTAAGTTTTTATTATTACTTTTCTGAATTTTATTTCACCTTCGCTTGTTTTTCTTTGTAGATTTGCCACATTTGTATCACTATAGAAAACCTTATTTTATTTGATTTTGAGCTTTTTCCATGGAATCGTTTTCTCTGGGACTTGACTTCCTTCAGAATTGCTTTTGGCATTCATCCCCATAAAAGCAAGTCTCTGTATTTCTTTCATTTGCTGTTATCTAGTATTCCGTTGCTTAATATACCACATTCATGTTTCCATTCCTCTCCTTTGGAGATTTGGATTGTGGATGAATGTGTGCAGAACTTTCTCTACCGCATTGTTTTTATAATATTTTTTTACCAGGACAGATAGTAAGAAATAAATTGATCCTATGAACCAGGAGGTCAAGGTTAGATTACCGGTCAGGCACATGCCTGGGTTATGGGCTCAGTCCCTAGTAGGGGGCATGTAGGAGGCAGCCAATCAATGATTCTCTCTCATCATTGATGTTTCAGTTCCTCTCCCCCTCTCCCTTCCTCTCTGAAATAAATAAAAATATATTTAAAAGAAAAAAATAAATACATTATACCTTGAACCAAGTACACATAAATATTTGCATATATACAACTATTTTGTTTTGTTTTGGGAGAGTCAGCAAAATTATGCTCCAGAAACTGGTACTGTCTTTGTAAGCAAATTATTTGGTACAGGTTCACTGTGGGAATTTTAATAATTTCACAAGCCAAATAAGCATACAAAATAATATCTTTTAATAACCAATTTAAAAAAAAATAACATACTCCAAATAAATGATAGATTAATCACACTATTGATCCAGACAAGGGAAGATGAAGAGAAAAAGTCCAAATTTAATATGAGGTGTACCTTTTCATTTGGGCCAGACAGGCCCAAATACAAGTGGGCAATTTGGAATTTAGACTGTAGTCCTTGTTTTGGGTTGGATCACTAGGTGCCTGGCACAGTCCACACTTTTAACCAGATTTGAACAGAAGAAGAATGGCCACTTGGCCAAAGTAAAAGTGGAGGAAGTAGTAGGTTCTGTGTGTCACATGATCACCGAAGCTCCTCCCCTCGGTACAGTGCCTGGTGAGGTCAGACTCCTTCACTAGTTGGGCTGCAGTTGTATTTCTCCAGCACCTGAGTAACAAGCTGTCTGCACATCCTCGACACATACATATTTTTTTATCACAGCCTTTCAGTCACACGTAGTTCTGGTGGATCAGGGGCCAGCTGACAGTTATGGCCTCTTGGGGTGAGGGTAGTATGGCTCAGGCCAAGTGAGAGCTGCCCCTGCTACCCTAGCCCAGGTGCTTATAAGCCTGGACCAAACTTTCTTGGTCCTCTTTCTACTTTGGACAGTGGTGTGAGAATGGGCGAATTCCAGCAGTGACGTGACCATCCCACAGCAGCATGAAAAATTCGTCCAAACTCAGCTACTTATTCCTGCTCTCAGCACAGATAAACAAGAAGGTCAGGAGTTGAGGATTCTTGGAAGAAATAAGCTGTACTGTCTGCACCCCAACATGCAGGAAAACTTTGTGCTGGTCCAGGAGAAGGAATAAACTTCAGAGGGCCTTAGACTGGAGTGCATATGTATCAGAACGTTCTCCTTAGAGGCAATCATTCACACTAGTCCCTTAGGCAAAGTCCCTACAGGACTCCATCCCTACCCCACACCCAGAGCTGGCCTGGACTTGGGAACAGCCACATGTGGTCCCTCCTCTCAACAGACCTGTGGAGCATATAGGACTGGGAGTCTCATTTTGTTGATGAAACATAGTCGAATGGGACAAATGGCCAGTGTGCAGTGGTTCTGATGCTTAGTCCGGGGCTCTTTCCATTATATTCCAAACTCCTCTTTTTATATGCAAATGAGGGCAAGCATGTGGTGACACTTTCCTACAAAATGAAATGATGCCATAATTACAAAGAGTTTAGGAATTAATGGTACTAAATAGGTTTAATGTTGAATTCTGAAGTAGGTGGCCTAAGGTCAGATTTTCCAAGTGTCACCCCTGCCATCTGGTGGTCAAGTGACAATATAACTAAAACAACTGGGTACTGATACTGCCATCTTATAAGTGGGGTGAATGATTTGAATATGAGGCTCTGACTTTTAGGGCCTGAGATGACAAAATAAAATGTTAAATATACAAATAAAGGTCAGAGGTTTTTCACAGTTATTTCTGCTCAGGATGAGGAACCTCATAGTTTACAATGGAAGAGTCCCTTCATCCATTTATTCAACAAATATTTATTAAACATTGTCTTAAATTGGTTCCCCAGGAAGCAGATTCTAGGCAGAGATTTGCATGAGGGAGGGCTACTGGAGAGCACGCTTGAGAGCAACCCTTGTAAGGGATTGAGGGAGACGACTGGTCAGAAAGGATAGAGCTGGGATGAATTTGCCACAGAAGCTTTAGCCAATCCTACTAGGAGCTCTGGGGTTGACTTGGCAAGGGACAGAACCTCTGTCCTGCATCAACTAGTTATTGGATCAGACAGTAAGCTGTAACAACTGACACGAACAGCATCTGGGGGAATAGTGCCTTGGTCCTAAAGTGGGGAGGGGGGGGGGTGGGATGCGGGTCCGGGCAACACATCACAGCATCCATTACAGACCCCTGCTATGTTCTGGGCCCTGTGCCACAGTCTAAGGATACGATGTTGAACAAAACAACATCTCTGTCTTCAAAGTTACCCAGAGGTGCAGAGTTAAAGAATCGACAAACCAACGAATGTTTAAAAAACCAGGAAACAGAAAATGTTAGCTAGAAAGTAAATTTCATAAGCTTAAACAACAAAGAAAAATCCAAGCCTTTTATTGATGGCAATTAAGAAGGCTGAAAAGAGCTGGGGTGAAAAGTGAGCTCACTCTCTGAAGAAGAAAAAAAGCCATCCAGCAACAGTTCTGGAGAAACTTGCCTGTGAAATGTAACCAAAGCAGTGGGAGATCACCCGGCGTTCATCTGTGAGGGACTGTGGATCCCTTCAGCTCTCCCAAGAACAGGCGACGGGGCTTTCCCCTCTATCCCAGGACCTACACGTGTTCTCAGCTATTGGGATGGAGGGTGGTCTATAGGCAGGGGCATGCTGGTCTTCGGTTGTTTTCCCCGGACATAGCATGTTGGTGCAATCACGAAGAGCAGCTCCTTGGCGCTTGGTTAGGCGGGGCGGGGTGGTCTTGAGGCTGATTCTGCTCCTGTCCATTTGGTGCCCACAGTCCGATCCCATGGTCCCAGCCATTCCCTCCTGCACATTGGCTTGTCTCTCCTCTTTATTTCAATCTCAGAGAAAAGTACTTGGATTTGCCTGTTACCCCAGCCTGCTACCTATGACAATGAACTCTATACCTTGAGCCTTTAGGGCAGGGGTCCTCAAACTACGGCCCGAGGGCCACATGCAAATACAAATATTGTATTTGTTCCCGTTTTGTTTTTTCACTTCAAAATAAGATATGTGCAGTGTGCATAGGAATTTGTTCATAGTGTTTTTTTTAAACTATAGTCTGGCCCTCCAACGGTCTGAGGGACAGTGAACTGGCCCCCTGTTTAAAAAGTTTGAGGACCCCTGTTTTAGGGCTTACATATTTGAAATGCACAAAACTTTCTCTACCAAAAATTTCAGAAAAATCACGTAGGAGTTAAAAAGCCCAAAATTGCCTTCCTTGCCCCCTGGCTTACCTGTGGTGTCCATCCTGAGGCAGGAGAGATGGAATTGTGCTAGAGGTTTGGGTGGGGCAGAGGACCATCATGGAAATGCCTGTTGACAGTTCTAACATCTCTTCACAGCTTGAGACGCTGGCCTTCAAATGGACGTCTCCATTTGGATGTCCTTCTTCAAACTCTTAACCTCTTTTTGCCTTGCTTCTACCTAACGAGAGTTTCCTTCTGGATTCTCTATCCCAATTGGTGACCTGAGCAAGCAAAACTCTGAGAGTCTTTCCCTCTAACTAATCATCAAGTTCAAGATAGCTCCCTATTTGCTGTCACTACCCCCATTTCAAGACACTGTTACCAACCTCCCGACTTGTCCCTGTAGAGCAGAGTTTCTTGCCCTCAGCGATCCTGACATTTTGGGCCTGATAGATAATTAATTCCTTGTTGTAGATGCTGTCCTGTGCCTTGTAGGATGTTTAGTAGCATCCTGGTCACCATCCACTAGATGTCAGTAGCACTCCTTAGTCGTGACAATCATAAATGTCTCCAGAACAGTACTGTGTTGAGCCATAATGGGAACTGAGGCAGAAGGGAAATGTGTGCCCTATATACACGTATCAAAA